CATTCCAGGTTGAGGGAACAGCCTGCATGATGGCTCAGTGTGGAGCATCAGAGGGATAGAAGAGTGGCTGGAGTGTGGCAAGGAAGCTGTGGGGAAGGAGAGATGCCGATTCCTGGAGGGCCATGAACTACAAGTACACATATGTTAAACTAGTAGATATGGTCCCTGGGGCTCTGTTTATTTTTCCTTTCAGCTTTTTTTCCTCCCTGTGTTTCCAGTTGATGTTTTCTATTGCCCTGTCTTTAAGTTCGTTGATCTTTTCTTTGGTAATATGTTATAAGTTGTTAAGCCCATCCATTGATTTTTCATTTCATATATATACTTTTCAGTTCTAAAATATCCATCTGGATCAGGATTGGTTTTTTTTCCCCCTTCTTTTTTTGTGGGATGGAGTTTCACTTTTGTTGCCCAGGCTGGCGTGCAATGGTGCAATCTCTGCTCACCGCAACCTCCTTCTCTCGGGTTCAAGTGATTCTCCTGCCTTAGCCTCCTGAGTAGCTGGGATTACAGGCATGTGCCACGATGCCTGGTTAATTTTGTATTTTTAGTAGAGATGGGGTTTCTCCATGTTGGTCAGGCTGGTCTCAAACTCCCGACCTCAGGTGATCCGCCCACCTCGGCCTCCCAAACTGCTGGGATTACAGGCGTGAGCCACCGTGCTCAGCCATCTGAATCTTTTTTGTAGATTCCATTTCTCTATTAAGATTTTTATTTGTTCCCTCATTAAGTTTATGCTTTCTTTGAAATTCTTGAATATATTTTTGTAATATCTGTTTTCAAGTCTTTGTTGGCCAGTTCTATCATTTCTATTCACTTTTAGTCTTTTTTTTTTTTTTTTTTTTTTTTTTTTTTTGAGATGGAGTTTCACTCTTGTTGCCCAGGCTGGAGTGCAATGGCACAATCTCGGCTCACTGCAACCTCTGCTTCCTGGGTTCAAGCAATTCTCTTGCCACAGCCTCCCGAGTAGCTGGGATTAGAGACATGTGCCACCATGCCCAGCTAATTTTGTATTTTTGGTAGACATGAGGTTTCTCCATGTTGGTCAGGTTGGTCTCGAACTCCCGACCTTAGGTGATCTGCCCACCTCAGCCTCCCAAAGTGCTGGGATTACAGGCATGAGTCACCGCGCCCAACTATTCTGAGTCTTCTATTAGCTGATTTTTCTATTAGTTGTGGGCCACATTTTTCAGCTTTATCTGTCTAGTAATTTTTATTGTATGCCAGACAGTATGCATCTATGAGGTTGAGTTTATGTTGTTGTCTTCCTAATAGAGTATTGAGTTTTGTTCCAATTTACCTGGGTATCAGCTTGTTCATTTCAAGGCTTATTTTTAAGCTTTGTTGGGATGAGTGTAATGTGGCCCTTCCTATAAAGCTAGATTAGGTCTACTTATAAGGCCATGATTTTTCTGGGATTTCTGCTGAATGCTTAGAGTGTTCAATAAGGTCTCTCTACTCTGGCTGTTGGGAACTCACATATCTCCCAACCCAGTCCTATGTAATCTCTGGTAGTTGTTCAGCTCACAGCACCCCAAGGTTTTTTGGGTTTTTTTTTCCCCTGAAAGTTATATTTTTCCCTGCCTCATGAAATCTTGTTCCATATACATGATGTTTAGGACTCAGCCAAAGTCCATATTTTTGGATCTCCTCCTTTGCATAGCTTTCCTATTTCTGGTACATTGCCATGCAGATTCCCGAGGGGAGGGAGCCTCAATAGCTTTGAACTCTAGTCTTTGCCTTCACAGTCCAGAAAGTACCTCCAGGCACAAAGGCAGGGTGATTGTGGGGTGTGCCTCATTCATTTTTCTTCTCTAAGGGATCACAGCAAATTTCACATATTTTATCCAGTTTTATAATTGGTTATGGCAGGAGGGATAATCTGTTTAGTTACTGTATAGTGTAATAAGGCCAGAAGCAGAAATCTCATTCTTGTGTATGTTTACACTCATGCTTTTATACATTCTAAAACAGTATATAATATTTTCCATATATTTAACATTTTTGCTTAAGTGTTATGACATTGTTCTTATTCTTCCATATCTTTCTTTTATAATCAACATTTTTTAGGAGCTATCCACATTGCTAGATTCATTGTTGCTTAACAAACTTTTCAATATTATTGAGTGTCTGCTAAGTGCGAGGCATTGTTCTAGGTGCTGGGTATACAGTTGTACTTGATACTTAAATGTAAGCCAGGCACAGTGGCATGTACCTGTAATCCCAACTACTCGAGAAGCTGAGGCTGGAAGGTTGCTTTAGCCCAGGAATTTAAGACCAGCCTGGGCAACATAGCAAGACCCCATCTCTAAAATAAATTGTTTTAATTAGCCAGATACAGTATAGTGTGCCATAGTCTGAACTACCTGGGAGGTTGAGGCAGGAGAATTGCTTGAGCCCAGGAATTCAAGACTGCAGTGAGCTATGATTGCACCCCTGCATCTAACCTGGGTGATAGAGTGAGATCTTCTTTAAAAAAAAAAAGAAAAGAAAAGAAAATTAAATGTAAGGTCTTCCTCTAAAGTATCCACTGACCAAAAGAAACTAGCAGGAAACAACCACTGAGGAAAACCAGGAGACTGTGGCATCCTAGAAGCCACTGAAGGAAGCGTTTGAAGAAAGAAGTGATTAGTCTACCGTGTTCAGTGCTGCCGAGTGGGTACACATGGGCATTACCAGTGACATACTGAGATGCAGTTAATTCATTTTAACTGCTGTATAGTGTCCCATCACATGAACAGAGAATATTCATTCCTCTATCTCCCACATTTAGGTGAATTTTCTTTTTCTTTTTTCTTTTTTGAGACAGAGTCTTGCTCTGTTGCCCAGGCTGGAGAACATGGCTTACTGCAGCCTCGTCCTCCCAAGCTCAAGCAATCCTCCTGCCTCAGCCTCCCAAGTAACTGGGACTACAGGTGTGCTACCCTGCCTGGATAATTTTTTTTTATTATTTTTCTAAAGACAGGGTCTTGCCATATTGCCCAGGCTGGTCTCAGCTCCTGGGCTCAAGCAGTTCTCCCACCTCAGCCTTCCAAAGTGTGGGGATTACAGGTGTGAGCTACCACACCTGCCCAACTAGGTGAATATTTGCAATAAACGTTTTTGAACATGTCACCAATTTGCGCACATGTGCCCAAGTTTCTCTTTGGGCCCTATGTGGGGATAGAATCACTAGATCATTCAGAAAGATATGCACAATTTCAGCTTGACAAGATCATGCCAAATTTCTCCTCAAAACGATGGTGCTGGTGCCTATAGAACTTCAGTAGTCAAGAGACCCCATTGCTTCACGCCCTCACCAATATTTGATATAGATTTTAAGACTCTTGCCAACCTGAGGAGTGAAAAGATGTGCTGTTGTTACTTCACTCTGCGTTTTTCTGAGTATTATTGGGGATAAGCATCTTGGCTATTTGAGTTTTCTCTTACATGACCTGCCTGTTAACGTCCACTGCCCAGTTTTCCATGGAGTTTTTCTTTCTCTTTTTGGCTTATAAGATTTCTTTATATATTCTAGTTACTAAGTCTTTGTCTATCAAATACATTGCAAATATTTATCCCAGTCTGTGGTGTCCCAGTCTGAGGTATGTCTTTTAACTTCATAGGTTTGTGTGTGTGTGTGTCATAGTAAAGTTTATAGTTCTGATGCGGTCAAATCTATGGATTTTGTGTTTGTTTTTGTGTTGTTCGTTTGTGTTTTGAGACAGGTCTCAACCTGTCACCCAGGCTGGAGTGCAGTGGCGTGATCTCAGCTCACTGCAACCTCTGCCTCCCAGCTTCAAGCGATTCTGGGGCCTCAGCCTTCTGAGTAGCTGGGATTACAGGCATGCGCCACCATGCCCAGCTAATTTTTGTATTTTTTGTAGAGATGGGGTCTCGCCATGTTGGCCGGGCTGGTCTCAAACTCCTGACCTCAGGCAATCCACTTGCCTTAGCCCATGGGATGAGTGCTGGGATTACAGGCATGAGCCACCGCGCCCAGCGGTGTTTCAAAAAAAAACAAAATAGTGTTTTTTCAAAAAAACACTATTTTGTGGTGTTTTGTGTTATTTAAGCAATCTTCCCTATCCTAAGCTCATGAAGTTACTGGCCTAAGACTTTTTAAGTTGTTCCTTTTTAAATACACTTTACACATTGATGAAAGTGCATCTCAGATGTATTCTGTGTGGGGGGCAAGGTGGGGAATGGATTTTTTTTCCTATTGAGAAAGCCAGGTGTCCCAGCCTCTCCAGCCTTTCTTTCTCGTGAGTCTGGACTGCCACCCCATCTCCTCTAGGCTCCCTCAGGGACATTGGGCTCTCTCTTCCCAATGAGGTAGGAGTAGTCCCAATGAGTAGTCATGTAGCCTGCTCTTGCACTCATACCTATACATTTCAATTATTTAACTTTACGTAAAATTTGATACCTGGTAGGGCAAGTGGGTAAAGTGGAGAAAGGGCACAGGGATATTTGCTTTTGCTTTAAACAACGGTCTGTGTGAATAACACTGGCTGAACTTGGAAAATGTCCATCTGCCACGTGCCTGTCATGATGTGTGGCGTGATGGGTGGGGATCTCATGACTTCTCTGTGAAACTCTGGGTACTTTTACTTTTGGCTTCCCCTCCCCACGCCCTGCCCACTGGCCCCTCCAGTTTCCAGGTTGTGATGTCTCTGAACCTTGGGGCGGCCCTTCCGGTATTCACACGTGGGCCTGTAGCGGGTGTTTTGGGACCAGGCTGCAGTACTGATTCTGTTGGTTACCACCAACCAGACCACAGCGACGGGCCTGCTGGGGGCAGGAGTTTCCTGTTGCCTCATAGACACCGAGACCCTGGATTCCAAAAATAAAAGCACGAGAAACCACCGTGACCTCATGGTCTCTGCTCGCAGGAGTTTCTGAGCACCCAGGACCATCTTCACCTGCAGTGGCCTGGCCCGGCCTGGGCCATGTGGGCTCTGAGTGGCCCAGAGGGCCCCAGAGCCACCTGCCTGAAGCTCTTGCTCTCTGTCCCCGCCCTCTAGGCAGTCACCCGCAGGGCCAAGGTGGCTCCCGCTGAGAGAATGAGCAAGTTCTTAAAGCACTTCACGGTCGTAGGGGACGACTACCATGCCTGGAACATCAACTACAAGAAATGGGAGAATGAAGAGGACGAGGAGGAGGAGGAGCAGCCGCCACCCACACCAGCCTCAGGCGAGGAAGGCAGAGCTGCAGGCCCTGACGCTGCCCCTGCCCCTGGCCCCGCGCCCAGGGCCCCCCTTGACTTCAGGGGCACGTTGAGGAAACTGTTCAGCTCCCACAGGTTTCAGGTAAGTGGGACAGGAGTCCGGGATGCCCAGAGCTGGCAGGAGAGCCATCAGGGAATGTGAGGCAGGCAGCTGGGCTGAGCCCATTTGGCCACTGCCTCATTCATTCTATGAGTGTTTGCCCAGCACCTACCACGTGCCGGGGACCCTGTACTGCACTGGGCATGCGGCAGGCAGATCTCAAGTTGTCAGGGAGAAAAGAGTCATGATCCAAAAGGAAAGGGTCCACCAATGGATGAGTGTGAAATCGAATGTGTTCTATCCGTACAGTGGAATATGATTCCAACATCAAAAGCAAAGAAGTGCTGATCCATGCCACAATGTGAATGAACCTTGAAAACATGGTGCTGAGGGAAAGAAGCCAGACACAAAAGGCCAGAGTGTAAGATTCCATTGATACAAAACATCTAAGGACAGGCAAATCCATAGAGACAGGAAGCAGATTGGCGGCTGCCACAGGTGGGAGTGTTTCCATTTGAGGAGATGAAAATGTTCTGGAATTATAGTGGTGATGGTTACACAACCTTGTGAATGGACTTAATGCCACTAAATTTTATGCCAACTTTAAAATGGTATATTTTACGTTATGCAAATTTTACCACACACAAAGTAAATAAAGGGTAAATAACAGAGACAGAAAGAACACTCATCCGTTCACTCTGCGAACACTCAGTGCCAGAGGCTCCCCTGCCTCATGGAGACCCATCCTGCTGGGGACCTCAGTCTCTCTTGTGGAGTGATGCCCAAAATACCTGGCTGTCCTGGCCTTAGCCCACTGCTGATAGCCTCCTGGTGTGGTTGCAGGGAGAAAGCAGAGCTGGGGTGGTCCTCACAGACGAGCGAAGGGAACTGAACTTTCTATGGAGTTCAAGCAGTTCTCCTGCCTCAGCCTCCCAAGTAGCTGGGATTACAGGCACCTGCCACCACACCTGGCTAATTTTGCATTTTTAGTAGAGACAGGGTTTCACTATGTTGGTCAGGCTGGTCTTGAACCCCTGACCTCAGGTGATTCACCCACCTCAGCCTCCCAAAATGCCAGGATTACAGGTCTTAGCCACTGCGCCCGGCCAACTGTCCTGCCATTGACTGATTGATTGGTTTGAGACAGAGTCTTGCTCTGTCACCCAGGCTGGAGTACAGTGGCATGATCTCAGCTCACTGCAACCTCTGCTTCCTGGGTTCAAGCTATCCTCCTGCCTCAGCCTCCCAAGTAGCTGGGATTACAGGCACCCGCCACCACACCTGGCTAATTTTTGTATTTTTGGTAGAGACTGGGTTTCACCATATTGGGCAGGCTGGTCTCAAACTCCTGACCTCAAGTGACCCACCCATCTCAGCCTCCCAAAGTGCTGGGATTACAGGCATGAGCCACTCTGCCTGGCCATGTCCTGCCATTTAGAAGGGCTTTTATTATTATTTTTTTAAGAGATAGGATCTTGCTATGTTGCCCAGGCTGGTCTCAAATTCCTGGTCTCAAGTGATCCTCCCATCTTGGCCTCCCAAAGTGCTGTGATTACAGGTGTGAGCCACCATACATGGTCTAGAAAGACATTTCTGATTTTGAAGGACAAATGCAAGTGGAGTCTGGTCAGCCCTCTCTAGACCCCATCCCCAACCCCAACATGGCAGAGCCTATGTCTGGGTGCCTAGAAGTCCATTCAAGTCCTGGGAGGGCACAGGCCTGGGGACCACAGGGAAGCACACAGTTCTCAAAGGTGGGCATTTGGAGGATGCTACTGCAGGTGTCCCCAAACAAAATAGACCTGTCCCTCCTTAGAGCCTGTCCCTCTTCTGGAAGCAGAGAAATGCAGCCCTTGCATCTTCTATCACTGACTTTATTCCAGGGTAAAAGATTTTAAAAAATTATTTTGGTCTTTTTTTTCCCCCACTCTTGTGTGGCTGAAAGCAGTGAAGCAAGAGAGCTGACATGCCAGAGCACCTGGTGGCCCAGCTCCTCTGTGGCTGTGATGGGAAAGGAAACATGCTATTAAGTTGTTGGGGGTTGAAATCCCAAACCCTCAATTTCAGGAGCAGAAGGAAGGAACCAGCTTCCTTGCAGCTGCAAGGGGAGCCCTGGGCCACCCCCTCATGATGTCCCCCTCCACCCTGGGCTTAGGGCTTAGGGCGGGGGACTGGCCCCTGAGCTGGGACCCCCAGAGACACTCCTGCTGGGGAAAAAGACGAATGCCTGTCATAAAGTGAGTGGACGTGTTTATTCACCTACCCAACAGTCACTTATTTGTCACTGTGTACAGTGACAAATGTGGCAGACACATCTTTGCCCTCATTGAGGATTTGGCAGGCTGCAGAGAGGCAGGAATGATGGGAGCCATCACTGAGACACACATTGGTTACAGATGGAGAGAAGCCCTCCTCAGGGAGGAGGGAGGCTTTGAGAGGTCCTGGGGGTGGGGGACTGATCAGGGACTGGAGTTGGAGGAGGTGACACCTGCATGCTGAGCAGGAGTGAACCCCATGGATGGATGGCGTGGGAGGCTTCCAGGTAGAGGGGCTTCCTTTGCCAAGGACTTGCAGCATTGGAGGAATTGAGAAGGGTGCAAGTGGATTGGGTGTGGGTGCTGCCAGCAGGCAATTAGCAAGAGAAGAGGCCAGGGAAGGTCATCCACGGGTTGTGGGGTACCTTTGAAAGCTCTAAGTGTGTGGGTGGGGGATCAGATTTGTAGAGGGACTCAGTGGCAACAGTGAGGCCACACTGGAGTAGGCGAGGAGGCTCAGAGGTTGTGGTTTCTGCAGGTAGGATCGGCATCCAGAAGCTCCTGGGATCCCTTTCTTGAGTGGTTTGAGATGGCAAAGGTGCTTGATATATTGTTAACTGCGGTCCCTTCTTACATGGGATGGCACCACCAAGGGAGAGAATACGGGGGGTGATTCAGGGCCCAAGGAAGCCATGAATGACAGGACAGAGTTGAGCCAACGGAAGGTGGTCCCAGGAGTCAGGGAGCTTTTTTATTCCCATGTACCGCAGGCCAGCCCTGTGTTAAGCGCTCTTCATACTTCACTCACATCATGCTCCCATTGTTGCTCTGGGGTAGAAAATGTGGCCCACTCCATTTTCCCCGTGAGGACAGTGAAGGTTCCAGCGATGAGAGATGTGCCCAAGGTCCAGGCAGATGGGGGAGCTGGGAGCTGAGCCCAGGACTGGCCGCCCCACAGCACGGACTCTGCAGTCTTTGCCAGGGTGAGGATTTGGAATGAAGCAGCTTCTCTGAATTCTCAGCAATTTTCCTTGTGACCTGGTTCCCCTCAGAAGCAACACTCCCTGTGAACTGGCAGATTCAGGGCCCCAGGGATGAATTTTCATAGAGGCCGGGGTTATTATCCAGGCATCGTAGTTTTGTGACCTTGGGTTGGTCTCTCTCTCATTTTTCTTTTGCATTGTTTTTTAAATTGAGGTGAGATTCACGTAACAATCATTTTTAAGTAAATGATTCTGTGGCATTTATTTAATACATTCACAGTGTTGCACAAGTCACCACTATCTACTTCCAGAGCATTTTCTTTTTTTTCTTTTTTCTTTTTGAGATGGAGTTTTGCTCTTGTTGCCCAAGCTGGACTGCAATGATGTGATCTCGGCTCACTGCAACCTCCGCCTCCCGGGTTCAAGCGTTCTCCTACCTCAGCCTCTCAAGTGGCTGGGATTATAGGCACATGCCACCATGCCCAGCTAATTTTCTGTACTTTTAGTAGAAACAGGGTTTCACTATGTTAGCCAGGCTAGTCTCGAACTCCTGACCTCAGGTGATCTGCCCGCCTCGGCCTCCCAAAGTGCTGGGATTACAGGCATGAGCCACCGTGCCTGACCCCAGAGCATTTTCAAATGGAAACCTGGTACCCATTAGCAGTCACTCCCCATTCCCCCTCCCCCAGCCCCAGGCAACTGTGAACCTGCATTCTGTCTCCGGATTTGCCATTTCTGGACATTTCGTATAGATGGGATCATGTGTGATCTTTTCTGTCTGCCTTCTTTCACTTAGTATGACGATTTCATAGTAGTGTGGGTCAGAACCTCATCCTTTTCATGGCTGAATATTGGGTCTGTTCCTTGTAGCTCTGTGGCTTGGTTTTACCTCATATGAGCTCTCAGATCCCTTTAGTTCCAAAATAAAACCAAGGAAAAACAACAACAAAAACCCCACTAGAGGCTTGCACCTTTATTAAGCTTGCTGAATTTGGAATGTGTGAAAACTTCATTACAAGGCAATTTGCCATGCAATTTTCACAACAAACCACATCATAGAATACTTTAATTACTGAAATAATTACCTACAGGTTGAAAGGATCAAAGAATTAATAGTCTGTTCTTGCAGAGGCCTGAACTTGTTTAATTTTAAACTGAAACTGCAGAAATTGCCAAGATAGTGGCAGATTAATTTTCAGAGGCCAGAATCGACTGATCTGAGAGTGCGAATGGCAGGGGATGGCAATGGTCCGGAATTTCCAAGGGAACAGAAGGGTCACTCAAAGTCCTGTGGGGCTCCTCCCACTGCTACATTTCCACTGCCATTATGGTATCCCCAACACTGTCACCTTCACCCTGCCATCAGTGCCCTCGCCAACATCATCACCAGCTGTCACCATGACTGCCATTACTACCAGCTGCTTCCCACAGCTGCCATCAGTGAGACCACCCACCCACTCCACACTGTTCCCCACCTGTCCTCTGTCAGCCCATCACAAGGCCCACAAGGTTGTGTTTCCCATAGCAGCTCTCCTCAATTCTCCAGGACACCGGGACTCCTCTCCCCTTCACCCTCTTCACCCACTGTGGGCACACGTGAGCTGGGGCAGGCACCTCACATCTCCGGGCAGAAGCTGGTTTGTAAGCACAGCAGCCGTCCCTGTAGCTGAGGAGCCTGCAGTCGGCAGTCCCCAAGGTCCCTTCCAGGACTCAGACTGCTGAGGCAGAGCTGTGTTATTTATTGAGCATCTGTTCTGTGAGCACCCCAACAACAGCAGGCCCCAGGAATAGAAAAATACAAACTTGCCTGGGCGCGGTGGCTCATGCCTATAATCCCAGCACTTTGGGAGGCCAAGGTGGGTGGATCACTTGGGGTTAGGAGCTTGAGACCAGCCTGGCCAACATGGTGAAACACCATCTCTACTAAAAATACAAAAATTAGCCAGGCATGGTGGTGTGTGCCTGTAATCCCAGATACTCGGGAGGCTGAGGCAGGAGAATTGCTTAAACTCAGGAGGTGGGGGTTGCAGTGAGCCGAGATCATGCCATTGTACTCCAGCCTGGGCGACAAAACGAGACTGTCTCAAAAAAAAAAATATATATATATATACACACACACACACACACACACACACACCCCCACACACACACCCACACACTTAAAAACTGATTATTTGTTGCCATCTAGGTATGGGCAGTTTGGTTTGAGAGGTGGTATTTGAGAAACAGTGACCAAGGGTCAGAAAATGAGCCAGACATGTTCTGGGAGGGCAGGGAAGGTGGGCACCACCTAGAGGCAGAGCAGGCCAGGAGGGTGGCGGGAAGGAGGCTGGTGGCTTCTATCAGAGAGGAGCTGGCCCTGCACAGCCACCATCCCAGTGGGGCCTCTGGCGAGCTATAGCAATAGCCTCCCACCCTTAATGGCTTTGCCCAGTGGTTTCACCCACGTGCTTCCAAGCCAGCTCTTAATCATGGGAAGAGGGAGGGCCTCCATGTGGGTCTCATGGTCTCTGGTGCCTTCCCTCGGCCCACAGGTCATCATCATCTGCTTGGTGGTTCTGGACGCCCTCCTGGTGCTTGCTGACCTCATCCTGGACCTGAGGATCATCGAGCCCGACAAGAATAACTATGCCGCCAAGGTAGGGGTTGACAGCTCTTCTGGGGTCTTACTGATATGTTTTGCTTGTGTTATCTGCACAGTAGGGGTGCAGAGTGGAGCAGCTGACACCCCACTTGGAGTAGCAAGGTCTGTGGTAGTTTAATAGGTGTTTTCATCTTCCTTTCCAGATTATGGATTAGCATTTACTACAAGCAGGAAACCTTGTTTCACATGATGGCTGGAATCCTGGGCGATGCTAGGCTAGTGAGCATGTGGGGTGGATCCACTCTGCCATCTCTGGCTCAGGAGGGGCATTTCTCCTGTCTTCTGTTGATGGTCTGCATGGTCCCCATGCTGGGCCGTCAGGGGATGTGCTGTTTTATTCACTGATTCAGTTACTGAGCCCATCCCAGATGTTCAGGCAAAGGGTGGTGGACACATCCTGTCTCGGTGCCAAGGGAGAAGATCAGGAGAGTTAAAATCATCCCTGGCTGGGCGCAGTGGCTCACACCTGTAATCTCTGCACTTTGGGAGGACAAGGTGGGTGGATCACCTGAGGTCGTGGGTAGATCACCTGAGGTCAGGAGTTCGAGACCAGCCTGGCCAACATAATAAAACCCTGTCTCTACTGAAAATACAAAAAATTAGCTGGACGTGGTGGCGCAGGCCTGTAATCCCAGCTACTCAGGAGGCCAAGGCAGGAGAATCACTTGAACCCCAGAGGCGGAGGTTGCAGTGAGCCAAGATAGCGCCTCTGCACTTCAGCCCGGGCAACAAGAGCAAAACTCGGTCTCCAGAAAAAAAAAAAAAAGCATTTCCCGTCCCCCACTCCCGCCATGCCCTTTTTTGGAAAAACAAAATGGAATTGATATGCAAATATATGTCTTTGCAAGTAGTGAAAAAGGCAGAAGGAAATGTTAAACCTTCTTCCTGGTACCTTTCCTAGAGGCAGCCCAGTGACATCTCCTATGCCGGCATGAAAGGAGAATCTTCCCTGTCCATCTAATTTCTCCTAAATAATTGCTTTCATGTTTCTCAGAGACCGAGGTCTTGAACCCCTGGGCTCAAGCGATCCACCCACCTCTGCCTCCCAAAGTGCTGGGATTACAGGTGTGCGACACTGCACTTGGCTCTCTTCCTCTATTTTTAATAGAATCCATTAACTTACCTGCCATATTGTCTTTTTTCTCTCAACTTTTTATTATGAAAAATGGCAAAGACACATTTTGCTGTTTGCTTTGTCACTATATATCCCCACATATGCACACACATTTCCATCTGACCATTTGACGTCACAAACCTTCACTCCTAAATACTTCAACATGCCTAATAAGGTTTATCTCCCGTGGAGCCATGAGAGCATCATCAGACATAAAATAAGATCAATAGTCCCACCTAACAACCACTTTTATTCACTCACTCATCCCAAATGTCTCTTTTTATTTTGGGGGGACAGAGTATCTATCGCCCAGGCTGGAGTGCAGTGGCACGATCTCATCACACTGCAACGTCTGCCTCCTGAGTTCAAGCGATTCTCCTGCCTCAGGATCCAGAGTAACTGGAATTACAGGTGCCTGCCACCACACCCAGCTAATTTTTGTATTTTTAGTAGAGACGAGACTTCACCATGTTGGCCAGGCTGGTATCAAACTCCTGACCTCAAGTGATCTGCCCACCTCAGCCTCCCAAAGTGCTGGGATGACAGGCACGAGCCACCATGCCCAGCCCAAGAATGTCTTTAATGGCACTTTTTTTCAAACTAGGATAGAGAATTCCAATATTCTATTTGGTTGTGTCTCCTTAGAATTTTTTTTTTTTCCTTGAGACAGAGTGTTGCTCTGTCACCCAGCCTGGAGTGCAGTAGCACTAACAGCTCACTGCAGCCTTGACCTCATGGGCTCAAGCCTTCCTCCCACCTCAGCCTCCTGAGTAACTAGAACCACAGGCATGCACCACCACACCTAGCTAATTTTTAAATTTTTTATAGAGAAAGAGTTTCCCTGTGTTGCCCAGGCTGGTCTTGAACTCCCAGGCTCAAGCAATCCTGTCTTGGCCTCCCAAAATGCTGGGATTACAGGCATGAGCCACCACACGCAGCCTCCCTGGGCTTTCTTAATCTAGATAAATCCTCCTGCTTTTCTTTTTCCTTCATGACCATGACTCTTGGAAGAGCCCAGCCAATAGAATGTCCCATGTTCTGGATTTGTCTGATGAGTTTGAGGTCTCCTGCCTTACTTCCTGCACACCACGGTTAGGTCCAGGGCTTGATCAGCAGGGAGTCCTCATTGGCGGGCGATGTTCTGGAGGTGGCATTTTCAGGAGGCACACGCCAGGGGTCCCACTCAGTTGGGTCACTTGATTTAGGCAGTAAAGGCTGGACGGCTCCACTGGCCAGGGGCATTTTTCCTGTTGCAGTGGTAAATGATCTGCCCGGTACTCCTTTGGTAGCATGCAAATATCCTCTTCCCCAGTTGGCATCTGTTGGTGATCCTTGCCTGAGTCAGTGACTACACTAGGGGATGCAGAATGGTGATTTTCTAATTCTGTCTTTCCTTCTACATTTAGTAGTCGGTACTCTTCTATAAAAAGGCACTTCCCTGTTTTCCCATGTGTGTGCGTGTGCATGGGTGTATGTGCTGCACTGTGAATTTTTTTTTATTCACTGTGTTACAATCAATCTTAGTCATTCTTTTCAATGTTCAGATTGTCCCAAATGTTGTCACTGTGAACCTCTTCAAGCTGACTGCTGGGTCCTGTTGACATGACTCTGTGATGTCTTTGAAGACTTCCTTGCTTTCTGGCACAAGACAACCTTGCTCACATTGTACCTTCCCTGCCCCAGATCTGGAAATGGTTATCTTGGTGTGAGGACTGGTTATTTTATATTTTTATTTTTATTTTTATTTTTTTGAGACGGAGTCTCGCTCTGTCGCCCAGGCTGAAGTGCAGTGGCCTGATCTCAGCTCACTGCAAGCTCCGCCTCCCAGGTTTACGCCATTCTCCTGCCTCAGCCTCCCAAGTAGCTGGGACTACAGGTGCCCACCACCATGCCCGCCTAGTTTTTTGTATTTTTTTAGTAGAGACAGGGTTTCACCCAGGATGGTCTCGATCTCCTGACCTTGTGATCTGCCTGTCTCGGCCTCCCAAAGTGCTGGGATTACAGGCTTGAGCCACCGCGCCCGGCCTATTTTTATTTTTTGAGACAGAGTCTGACTTGTCACCCAGGCTGGAGTGCAGTGGTGCAATCTCGGCTCACTGCAACCTCTCCTCTGGGTTCAAGCAATTCTCCTGCCTCAGCCTCCCAAGTAGCTGGGACTACAGGCGTGCACCAACATACCTGGTTCACTTTTTGTATTTTTTTTAGTAGAGACAGGTTTTCACCATGTTGGCCAAGATGGTCTCAAACTCCTGACCTCAAGTGATCTACCTGCCTCAGCCTCCCAAAGTGCTGGGATTACAGGCATGAGCCACTGTGCCCAGCCAGGACTAGATCAAGATCTCAGAACCCTTTTCACTTACCTTGGTGATCACTCCTAATTGGAACATATGGATCTGCCTCCATTCATTCATTCATTCATTCATTCAGTTATTTTAGAGATGGGGTCTTGCTATGTTGCCCGGCTGGCCTCAAACTGGGCTCTGGGCAGGAGGCCCCACCTAGCCTCCTGAGTAACTGGGACTATAGGCTCGAGCCACCACACCCAGCTTAATCTTTTTAACAATTGTATCCTTAGGGCCCCATATGGAGGTGCCACCATTCATTTTAAGAGTATCTTCTAATGGACATTTCTGTCTAACGGACATTTCTGTTGTCTTACAAACAATGCAGAAAATATTTGCTCTGCAAACAGTGCTGCAGTAAATATCCTTAGTCCCTGTGCACACGGGAGTTCAGCTGTAGGATAAGTTCTTAGCCACGGAATTGCTGGTCCAAAGGGTCTGGAGGACACTTTAATTCCGACATTGCCTAATTGCCCTTTAGAGAGCAGGTGCCTCATCTGCGGTGTTCACAGCTGTGTTTCCAGCACCGGGCATCTGGATTTGTCCAACAGATGAATTCTCTTGCTGGTGACCAGGCAGGTTCATGCGAGGGCAGCTTGACCTCCCAGAGGCCCAATCTCCCCTGACTGTGGTTCCTTGTCCCCTTCAGGTATTCCACTACATGAGCATCACCATCTTGGTCTTTTTTATGATGGAGATTACCTTTAAATTATTTGTCTTCCGCCTGGAGTTCTTTCACCACAAGTTTGAGATCCTGGATGCCGTCGTGGTGGTGGTCTCATTCGTCCTCGACGTTGTCCTCCTGTTCCAGAAGCACCAGTTTGAGGCTCTGGGCCTGCTGATTCTGCTTCGGCTGTGGCGGGTGGCCCGGATCATCAATGGTATGTCTCGTGCACTCCCAGGCTGTGGATGGAGAGCGGGGGCTCAGGCATACATCCGAGGCCTGGCGGCACAGTCACTCTGGGCGCCTGAGCTCACAGTGGCTCCCATTATGGAGGCCTCCCCACAGCCCCCTCACCTCTCTCTCCTCCCTTCTTCCTCTTCAGCCCTTTTAGGAGCTGGTTATGAGCAGGTTTATGTCAAGCAAATAAAATGAAACGGTTGGGTACAGTGGTCATGCCTGTAATCCCAGCAATTTGGGAGGCTGAGGCAGGAGCATAACTTGAGCCCAGGAGTTCAAGACCAGCCTGGGCAACAAAGGTGAAACCCTGTCTCTACAAAAAAAAAAAAAAAATAGAAACATCAGTTGGGTGTGGTGGTGCACACATGTAGTCCCAGCCACTGGGGGGGGCGGAGGTGGGAGGATTGCTTGAGCCCAGGATTTGGAGGCTGCAGTAAGCCAAGATTGTGCCACCGCACTCCAGCCTGGGTGACAGAGCGAGACCCCATCTCAAAAAAACAAAAAGAAAAAACTGGACTCTGTCAAAGGAAAGAAAAAAAGCCTTTGAGTTCCTATGGAAGATGCCTGTTATGGAGAAAGGGGGCATTTCCCAGCCTGTGCTTTCGTGGTATCTGTGCACACTGCTGCTATGCACCCATATGATTGTGAACAGGTTCTAGGTTAAGAAGCCTAACGTTCATCTTGTCAGAAATTATTTTTAAGGATTTCTCAGCCATAACAGCTATAGAGAGATATTGCATAACTGGGGACTAAGTAGCTCAGACATGAAACCCTGACTTCCCAGCTCTGATACCCTAAAGTGATGACTGTCTCGTGTGTCTGTCACCATTCCTCCCAACACTATACGGGTGTAAGAATACAGATTTTTTTCCTCAGTGGTTAAGTTAGAAACCAGTATCACTGAGACCCCCAATTTTATTTCAGGGATTATCATCTCAGTTAAGACACGTTCAGAACGGCAACTATTAAGGTTAAAACAGATGAATGTACAATTGGCCGCCAAGATTCAACACCTTGAGTTCAGCTGCTCTGAGAAGGTAAGAAGACACATCTGGGGACCAGGCATGGTGGCTCATGCTTGTAATCCCAGCACTTTGGGAGGCTGAGGCAGGTGGATCACCTGAGGTCCGGAGTTCGAGACCAGCCTGACCAACATGGAGAAACCCTGTCTCTACTAAAAATACAAAATTAGCCGGGCGTGGTGGCGCATGCCTGTAATCCTAGCTACTCAGGAGGCTGAGGCAGCAGAATCGCTTGAACCTGGGAGGCAGAGGTTGCGGTAAGCCAAGATTGCGCCATTGCACTCCAGCCTGAACAAGAGCAAAACTCTGTCTCAACAACAACAAAAAAAAGACATCTGAGAAGCTGGCCTCTGCTGCAGCAGCCGCCTGCAGCACAGCGCTGCTCATGCACCTAGAGCGCCCTTCCCTGGGCTGAGCCTGCCTTGTCCTTTCAGATCCAGCCCAGGCATCACATCCTCCCTGAAGCTGTGCCCACCCCCACACCCCGGGGCTCTGCCAGGTCCCCCACCTTTGTCTTCTCACTGCTGTCACTGCTGCTCAGTGGAGCCTATGATTGTAGCAGTCTCCTCAGCAGACTGAATGCCACAGAGTGTAGCTTTCATTCATCTCTGTGGCTCTGTGCCTGGGGCTCACTGAATGATTGTCACATCCCTGGCGAGGCTCAAAGTAAATTCCAGTGTTTGTCTGCTTTTGCAATAGGAACAAGAAATTGAAAGACTTAACAAGCTATTGCGACAGCATGGACTTCTTGGTGAAGTGAACTAGACCCAGACCAGCTCCCCGCAGAGAAGACACTGCCTCATGGGCCTGTGCTGTCATGTGAGGAACAGCTGCCCCTCCTGGGCCACCTGGTGAGAGGTTTGGTTTGATGCCTCTGCCTCCCTCCTGCCAGCATGGATTCTGGGTGGACACAGCCTTGTGGAAGGTCCAGTACCACCAAGAGCTGCCCATCCATTCCCACCCCACACTGTTTCAAAGGTATCACATTTTCTCATGTTGAACACTTTAGCCTTGCTTGAAAATGAGCAACAAAGCTGGACAATTTCTAGTTGTATATAAAATTTAGTCGCATCGAATGTACAGTTTTCAAATTTCACATGTATATTAAGGAATTGATGCATCCTTTCATATGAGCATTCTGAAAGAAAGAAAAAGAAGCTACTTTAGCTGCCACCCCATTCTAGAAAAGTCTCTTATTTTCAAGCTGTTCTAAATAGCTTCCCTTGTCTCAGTTTCCCCAAAAGGGGTACCCAGGTCCCTCCTCTGTGTGCCCCAGCTGCATCAGCCAGCTTCTAGGTGGCTCCATTGCGTTCTGCCACCTGATATTTTTCCTCAATTACTGTACAATTACTGTATAAAATAAACTCTCTCTTTCCCCTGGATCCTCCTACTGTATTCTTTCCTCTGTGGCACCCATACCAGCCTGCCAGTCAGAGAGCAAGCTAGCTATAGTGCCTGGTGCAGAAATGGCAATGAGACCCAAGACTCCACTATAATTAACATGGTACTTAGGGGAAGATCCCTTGCAAGGCTGTGTACTCTTCTCGCATGATTTTATCTAATATTTTGCTATTGTTTGTACTCACTGCAACCGGACCTAAAAAGGAAAAAACCTGAACTGAATATTTTTAAAATAACTCAAAGCAGGGGATGAATGAACTGTCCAAATCCCCCATGCCTCTGCTGCTTCAAGGCCTGTTCATTTTCTTTACCATCTCCCCAAAGACTTTTTGGGTTCTATCTATGACCTATGTGTTAAGTGTATTCCCCATTCAAAAGTCAGACAGAATAACATTTCCAAAAGGAAAAAAGGTGGGAAGGGAGTGGGGAAGGGAGTGGGGAAGGGAGTGGGGAAGGGAGTCGGACCTAAAAAGGAAAACCCTGAACTGAATATTTTTAAAATAACTGCCAGGGATGAAATGAACCGTCCGAATCAGGCGCCTTGGCAGCCGGCAAAGGCTTCGTTCGCTTCTTTTACCATCTCCCCGCCGTGAAGATTTTGTTCTATTCACAATTGTGGTAAGGTATTCCTATCCGGTGCAAGCTTCCACAGAATAAATATCCCAAAAGGAAAAATAAGGAGGAATGAGGGAAGGAGGGAGGAAGGTGTAAAGGATGGGAAGGGAGTGGGGAAGGGAGTGGGGAAGGGAGTGGGGAAGGGAGTGGGGAAGGGAGTGGAGAAGGGCAGTGTGCTGGTTTGGAGGCAACCTCAAAGGTTAGAAGTATAATAAGGCCAGGCATGGTGGCTCACACCTGTAATCTGAGCACTTTCAGAGGCTGAGGCAGGAGGAGCACCTGAGCCCAGGAGTTTGAGACCAGCCTGGTCAACATGGCAAGACCCCATCTCTACAAAATATATTAAAATTAGCCAGGTGTTGTGGTGTGTACCTGTAGTCCCAGCTATTAGGAGGCTGAGGTGGGAGGATCACTCAAGCCCAGAAGGTCAAGGCCGCAGTGAGCCATGATCACACTACTGCACTCCAGCCTGAGTGACAAAGCAAGACCCTCAAAAAGTATAAAATGCAGTGTCCCCTAGGGACTTCTAGCCCCACATGCACTTTCCACAGGGGATGACCTCAGCGGAGGGGCGTAGTTTCCTCAAGTGATGACTTACGTCAAACAAACGGGAAGAAGAAGTTAAAGGGCAGCCTGGCATTGATGGCTGGCGGAGCTCTGAAGCCTGCCTCTGCAGGTGCAGACACATCCACAAAAGTAACCGCAGTAGAAATAAGAATCGTCCTTTCATTTCCTGAGCTGGCCTGTAATAAACAGAGAGAGCAAGGCCCACCCTCCAGTGTGCTCCCAGAATGACAACAATGAGACACTTTTCATTCTCTTCCTCACTCAACCACTGTCAGTTCATGAATCTGATAGATCCTGGAGCACTAATCAGCCATTAACTTGGATGAGGGAAACAATTTTACCAGGGTGTCTGATTAACACATGAATATCAGTCATAATTTTCATGAGAATTTTAAAGATCCAATCGAAACCAGAATGCTAATATAAATAGAACCATCATCAGTGTTTCCTTCTAAGTAAAAGAATGCTGAAATATTTTATGAACCCCCATGGTTTAAATTATAATCTTTTACACAAAGTAATACCTGTCACCTACCACACTTGAGTTGTGTCTAGACTTCTGTCTTAACATATGCCTTTAAACTAGGTTAGACCTACCTCAGGAAAGGAGGATGAAATTAGATTTGCAGTTACATTGACTATTTTGGCCTGTGGATTCAGTAGGGAACCGTATTTGGTCCACTTCACTTCTATAACCAAAGCCCCTGGGAGCTGGCAGGAATCCTGCAAAACAGAATGCTGTTAATCCATTAGAATCTTACACAACCGCAAGTCAGACTTAATCTGCAGTTCAGAGTGTTAATTAGAAAAGGTTTCATATATTACAAAATGTTCTGAACAAGAAAATGAATAGACTCTAGTAGTTCAGATAAAAACAGCTTAGAGAAAGTACGTATTTTAAAGTAACTCAATGCCCCAAAAATATTTTTAACAACTGAAGCGTAATTTTTCCATCCCCTTCTATTTCTAAAAAAGTCGGCATCACCTGAAACTGCAGTAGTGCCGATATTCAACTGTGGACCCTTTAGGGCCATAACTGCTCTAACTTCATCTACCTGTTTACACCTGCCTCACAGACTTCAGGAAAGAAACTGGTGGGAGGGATGGAGGGGAAGAAATAATTATTAGCAGACAAATAAAACCTGATTGCATGTCATGTTAAAATGCTCTGAGGGGAAATTTAAGTGCCTTCTCATTTATCTAATTTCATCAACTGGCACTTAAGATGTGACATTTGGGTAACCAGGCAGTGTCAGTATGTTGTCAAAGACATCAACTCTTCATCTGCACCAGGAACACTGCTGGTGCCATGAAGGAGCTGAGCTGCCCATTTGGTTGGCTGCTTTGGGAGCCAGCTCTAAGGCCTCTGACCCAAGGGAAAAAGGGGCCGTGGGACTTCCAGGACTTTTTCCTGCCTTTGCAGTCTCTCCAGTTGGCAAATGTGGTAACTGTTGAAGCTGCAGGCTGGGTACATGGGGACTCCATGGTACTATTCTACTTTTGTGTATGTATGACATGTTTTCATTTAAAAAAAAAAAAAAAAAAAGGTTTAAAATATCTCTTCAGGACATGAAAACCTCACAGGCCTGCTAAATTTGGTGGCTGCGAAAAAAGCACTGATGGAATTCCTTAGCTTGGAACTGCCTTTAAAAACCGTGCAGGCTGAACAATCCTCTCGAATATCCAGTTCTTAGGAGACGATGCAGCATGCAGCTGGTGGAAACTGAGTTTAGCAGGTGCTCGTGCCTGCCTCTACCTGGGTTGCCGGCGAGTTGGTACAAAACCCACTGCTGCAGGCCCTCTGAGCATTCAGGATCAGCACAGACCCTGACAATGCTGTGTGCGCACTGCTGCCTCTCCTCCCGACCCATATCTTCCCTTCTGAGGAGTAATAACTGCATGTCTTCAGCCATGGCCAAGAAGCCAGAAGCAATGTGCCTGGTTCTGGCGGGAGAGTTGAGCCAAGACTTCGCAGTGGAATGGAGTAATCCCGGGTCTCTGCTGGCCTCGGTGGGAGGGCGGATCAGAAAAGTGAGCAGTCCTCATCCCTGTTATGCCCATGCTAGAAATACTCAGAGCAGATAATGAGAGGTCTGAAGAAAGCGTGACAAGAACAAGCTGGGCAATTACAGGCTAAGATGGAGAGCACGCCTCCGGGCCAGGGCTGGCCCACACACTGACTGCTAAGACAAAAGAAAAAGGTGGGCAGAAGCATCACATGTGACCAGGAACCTATCTGTAGGATTGTCAACTTCCATTCAACTCTGTGAGGAACTGTGGCAGTGAAAACTCTCAGGTGTAGGCTGCCTGGGTAGACCAGAGGACAATGGGTGGGATAGCCACGTGCATGGAAGGAAGTCTCAGTCTTTGATACAGGACTCAACATTCATCTATCGTGTCATGAGATGCCTGGAGAGGGCTCGAGGGACACCAACAATCACAATGATGGTAGCAACAGGATGAGGATCACAGTGGTTCCCATTTATGGGCCACTAGGCACCATGCCCAGGGCCACATAAATGTTACCTCACTTAACCCTCTCAATGCCCCATGAGGCCACTCACCCACTATGACTAGCGTTCCCATTTCACAGATGAAAACAGAGGCTCAAAGCCATAAAACTGCCAGCCAGAGACAACATTGCTAACAAGGGGCAAAAATCAGTATCCAAGATTCAGCCCATGCTCCCACTCAGAACCATCCTGCCTCCTTAACAGCTGGCTTCCCCGGCTGCCTTCATCACACCACCTGGAAGAGAGAGACTGCTAGCATGGAACCTGCACCTTCTCCGCTTTACCTTCCTGTTGAATGACTGGGTGATGAAGTGGATGGGCACCCAGTCCAGCACATCCTGGGCCTGCAAATTTCCAAAAGGGGCCACATAATCTGGGAAGCCCTGGCCCCACAGCAGGTTCTTCACCTTCTGGGCTACGAGCCGACACGGGAGAGCTCCAGTCAGTCTTGGTGAAGGAAAAAGAAGTTAACTGAATGAGGCTGTTGTTCATCCACCAGCAGTTTTTCTTTATTTTCTTCTTCCTTTCCTTCCCTTTGTTTATTTATTTATTTATTTATGACAAGGTCTCACTCTGATGCCCAAGCTGGAGTGCAGTGGCGCCATCATAGCTCACTGCAGCCTCAAACTCCTGGGTTCATGCGATCCTCCCAGAGTGCTGGGACTACAGGAGTGAGCCACTACACCCAGTCCACCAGCCGTTTTTTGTTTTTTGATTTTCGATTTTTGTTTTTTGTTTTGTTTTGTTTGAGATGGAATTTGCTCTGTCACCCAGGCTGGAGTACAGTAAGGCAATCTCAGCTTACTGCGACCTCCACCTCCCGGGTTCAAGTGATTCTCCCGCCTCAGCCTCCTGAGTAGCTGGGACTACAGGCGCCCACCACCATGTCCAGCTAATTTTTTTGTATTTTTAGTAGAGACGGGGTTTCACCATGTTGGCCAAGCTGGTCTCGAACTCCTGACCACAGGTGGTCTGCCCACATTGGCATCCCGAAGTGCTGGGATTACAGGCGTGAGCCACTGCTCCCAGCCCCACCAGCAGTTTCATTCCTTCCCAGTTTCATTATCTTCTCACTCTCCAAATGGGGGATTATCTGAGAGAAGCTAAAGCGTCTCTAACTTTGCAAAATCTTGACCTGCGAGATGATGAGTCTAAAATAATGTTTCCCAAACTGTGTTCCACTGAAGCTCTGTACAAGAAGGGTTTCATGGCCAAAGTTGGGGAAGCATTGAACCTCCATGTCCCCATGTCCCTCCTGAGGCACATGTGTCTATTAAAGGTTCTGATGAGTAATATAGGAAGGAACCATTGTTTTAACTTTAATTTGGTGTTTCCCAAACGTATTGGACCGTAGACCTACCCCTACTAATGTCTTGTGGAAATGTATTCCATGGAACCCTCTCCCTTTGAGAAATGCTGGTCTAAATGGATCAGAACTAATAATGTAAATGGTGGCTGGATGTAGTGGCTCACATCTGTAATCCCAACATATTGGGAGGCTGAAGCAAGAAGAGCACTTGAGCCCAGGAGTTCGAGACCAGCCTGGAAAACACAGGGAGACCCCGTCTTTACTAAAATTCTAAAAATTAGCCAGGTGTGATGGCACTCGCATGTGCGCCCAGCTATTAGGAGGCTGAGGCAGGAGGATAGCTTGAGCCTGCAGGCTGAGGCTGCAGTGACCCTGATCACGCCACTGCACTCCAGCCTGGGCAACAGGGTGAGACCCTGTCTCAAAAAATAATAAGTAAATGGTAAATATTGGTCTAAACAAAATAATGATCCAATGACCCTGGGAAGATGTGGGAAGTGTGTGGGTCATGAGGTAGGGGATGAAGGGGAAAGAGCCAACCTTTGTCTTCCTTAATGGAAACTCAATAAAAAATTCATAAAACCAAAAAAATCAAGAAGTAGCATTACATGCAGGATATTTCAAGATTTGGGGGTAGATTTTGAAAAAAACAGCAACAAGAGTTGAAAGTGGTTGCCTCCAAGGTGGGGCAAATGAGGGTAAGAACTGTTTTTATAACAAGTCATGCAGCGCTGTTTGATATTTTACATTATGTACATATTTGGTAAGATAAAAGCAGATTATATTCAGATTTCCTCTCCCTGGTTTTGATGTGCTGTGTATATTAAAATGCAGAAACATAGGAAATATTTTCAGGGGAAATATTTTTACTGTGAACTCAAATTCTAAACAACCTTAAAAATGAAACATACAGGCCAGGCACAGTGGCTCACACCTGTAATCCCAGCACTTTGGGAGGCCAAGGCAGGCAGATCACCTGAGGTCAGGAGTTCTACCACCAGCCTGGCCAACATGGTGAAACCCTATCTCTACTAAAAATACAAAATTTAGCTGGGCATGTTGGCACGTACCTACAGTCCCAGCTACTCAGGAGGCTGAGGCAGGAGAATTGCTTGAACCTGGAGGCAGAGGTTGCAGTGAGTTGAGATTGCACCACTGGGTGACAGAGTGAGACTCCGTCTCAAAAAAAAAAAGCCAGGTGTGGTGGTGCATGCCTGTAGTCCCAACTACTTGGGAGACTGAGGTGGGATCCCTTGAGCCCAGGAGGTCAGGGCTGCAGTGAGCTATAATGGTGCCACTGTACTCCAGCCTAGGAGACAGAGCGAGACCCCATCTCTTAAAAAAAGAAACACACAAAGCCTTGAAATTTTTGCTTTGCCATATTTAATAACAAAAATGATTGTAACAGTTTTGCTACTATTCATACATGATGATATATATGTGGCTTTCATATGAGCTCATCAGTTGATGCAGAGATTTGATTAAAATGGGGAAAAGTGAGAATGCTTTGTTTTCTGATCAACACAAGTTCAAATAGAAACAAGTGACTCTTTTACCTTAGTTTACAGCCAGATTGCATAGTGTAACCAAATAATACTGGGGTCCGGACCCCCTCCAGTGCTAAGCAGTCTTGCTCAGCTGTGCTATGAAGAATAGTAAACTGTCTGTATCTGTTCGTGGTCTGAATAATCCCAGACATTCACAGATAGTTAAGGGACAACTGCCTAGTGGTAGAGCAGCCTGATTCTCAGGTAAGAAGACAGTGTCACTGTGTGACATGAGGGAGACCCAAATACACTTTTTCTGGGCCTCTGTGATTTTGACAGCTATTTCCCAGGAGTGGACAAAAAAGTAGTTCTATTTTCCTTAGTAAGTGGATTCTAAGAAAAATTATCAGAAACTGGCCCTTCAAAATTGTTTAAATGTAAAATTAAAAACGTTTAAATGTCAACTTTTCTCTCTTAAGATTTTCGTTGTAAAACACTGACATATTTTGTGGCTTAATGGCAGGCTGGGAAAAAAAAAAAAGGAGATTTAAAAAAACCTGACATTTTCCCAGGATGTGCTGTCTCACCCCCAACTGCCAGTCTCCCCCCAGCCCACCTGCTGTGTAGCCAGACTGGCCGCCCACCAGAGCCGCCTGCAGGAAGCTCGGCCTGGACTGCTCTCTCCTTCCCACAAGCAGCCCAGGGGAGCCTCGGCGATAAAAAGCAGTGCAGCCCACGCACACGGAGACAGGAATAAATCCACCCTCTACAGAACCAAAAAGGATATCCCTTATGAGGCTGGAATCCAGCAGCCAACGGGAGCCCCACGACATAACCAGGGTTTCCACTGAGAGGGACTGGCTTGGTATTTTCCTGAAAGACAGTGTAGAAATGCCCCCAAATAATTCTCATTTTAATAAGGAAATGGCAGGGAGAAAAATGCTTCTTTCATAATAAAATCTGGAATTAACAACCAACAAAATAATTTATCCCTCCCTACTCAGAACTATAAATACATCTGCCAGGTGTAGGAGTACATCATACTGTAAAAGAACAAGCTAACGTGGAAGGGAATCTTTTCCCAAAAGGAAAAAAAATACAAGGAGAATGCTTGGTTTCATTACAGATGCCACAGGCTACACAAAGCCCTCTGTTCACTACAAAGGCTTGGATGTAATACTTAGAAATTCAGTTTTATCCACTAAGAAGTCATTTTTTCTTTTTAACTTGGCAATTAAATACTTATGCCAAATTGATCAACCTTACCTGAAGAAAATGAATTTCAAACTTTTGCTGCAGTGGGACCACTACACTGCTAACTGTCCCCAGAAGGAATGACAGATCAGCTTTGGTGACTTCACCTCTATCTGTGTATGTGAGGCTGTACTTTACCTAAAAAAAAATGATACTCCTAATATACCTGTTCCATTACATTTCAGAAGCTGTATGAATAACTGAAAATACCCACAGATAGCAAATCTTTCCCCATTTCTCTATGTGTTAAAGCCTTGCTCTGCTGTCCAGTTGGATTACGAGAGGTGTTCCCTCAGCACCACCCCTAGCAGACAAGGTCATCTGAGCCACTCTGCCCAATTACAGAAGTTCCACATAAGCTGGTCCAAGCAGAATGTAATAAGCCTATCTCTGCAGAGGAAACATGTTAAAACAAAAACAGCAACAACAAAAATATTTTGATGTATTCCGGCAAGTCACTAGGTTTGTGGAGACAAGAGGTGTCCTTTGATGAGACAGCAGAAAGGCAAGCAGGCAGCCAAGCCAGGTAAAGCCACACCACAGGCTAGGACAGAGTGTCCTCGGACAGCATCCAGTTACCCCAGCGCGACAGGAGGCTTAAGTCTGCCACAGACAAGCTCTCAAAGCCAAATTCGGCACCTACCTCAAGAACAACATTCATGCAAAGGTGAAAGTGTCCAGCATTGACGAGAGCCGGCTGTAGCACATCAGTGTCTTCCCGTCGGGTGAGCGTTTTATTTAGAGACTGAATGAGGACGGACTGAACAGTGATAGGGACCTGCAGAGTGAAGACTTGGAGTGTTGAAGATGCTCTACCCAGGGAGGATGGGCTAAAATAACAACCAACTGGAAAGAAACCTCCCCTGATATATGGCCAAGTAGGGGGAAGCATGCTACACAATGTGTATACTATGATCCACATTTGCAAAAGTAATAAACATATATACATTCACAAAGAAAATACTTGAGAGGATATAACCAAAACTTTAAAAGTAGTTATTACCTCTAATAACAAAGTTTACACAAAAACTTGTACACAAATGTTCACAGCTGCACTATCATAATAGCTAAAACCAAAAACCACCTAAATGTCCATCAGCTGATGAATGGATAAATACAAAGTCTAGCCTTACAAAGGAATGTGACTTATCCTTAAAAATAGTACTAATACATGCCACAGTACAGATGAATCTTGAAAACATGCTAAGTCATAAAAGCCAGACACGAAAGGCCACACTTCTAATTCCATTTATACGGAATGTCCAATTGGCAAACCCATAGAGATGAAAACTAGATCAGTGGTTGCCAGGGGCTGGGGGACAGAGCTGGGGAAGAATGAGGAGTGACTGCTAACACAGGGCTCCTTTTTGGGGTGATGGAAATGTTCTGGAATTAGTGGTAATGGTTGCACAACCTGTGACTATACTAAAAGCCACAGAATTGTATACTTTAAAATGGTGAGTTTTATGGTATGTGAATTATATCTCAAATATATACACACAAAACTCCATCACACTGTCAAGCGCACATACATATCCTCACCTCCAAAACACAACTCCTACACACTCCATACCCACACATGCACATGCACACACAGTCCCAGGATACATATCCTTAAGCCCCTACACACCCCCAAATATTCATTTGACCCAGTTTATACACAACTGCTACACAAATGCAAGTGCACACACACATAAACACACACACACACACACAGTGGTTTCTCTGGGTGGTAGGATTATGAGCAATAGAAAACAGACACAGACAAACGTTTTCAGCAACACCAGGAAGCCCTGCTTATCCCAGTGCTATTAAAGGACATTTTGCATTCATGGCCACCGCCAGCAGACTAGTAAGGCATCAACCCATCCTCTAAAGGTAGCTGGGCCTCCTCACACTATAGGATGAATCTGTCATTTGCTCTAAACTTCAATTCTTGGAAACCACTGTTGAGGAAGGAGCCTCATGTATCTATTAATAGTTGTTTATACCACTTTGAACTTAATCATGCACCATGCTGTTTATAATTCAAAATGACCAAGTATTTAAGCAGTCATTTTAGAGATAAATAAGCAGTCCTTATGTGTCTGCCCCCATGACCAAGAAGACCTGCGAGTCAAAACCTCTCACAGAAGAAAGTGACATGACTCAGTAACAAAGATGTGAGCTGTCATGTGACGAGAATGGCAGAAGGGCAACGCCAGTCACTGCGAAGCCCTCTGCATAACACACCGCACCAAAGGGTTTCAGCATGGAGGGGATCCTAGGCTGCGATTCAATTAGCTCTTGTTTAACATAAGGACAACCCGGGTTCCTTACTCTGAGCACAGTGGCCCCTGATTCAGCAATGACACCGGGTTCCAAGAAAGAGCATAGCCTACCATACCAGCCTCTGCTGAAGCCACTTCCATGCTGTGTCCGTGGAATTGGCAAAAACCAAAGGATTCAATATCAATGAGCTTTGGAGAGTCCTGGTGTCAATGGCAGGAGCTGCCCTCATCTCAGCAGCTCACTCAACAGTCACAAGAAGGAAATGGTAGGGCTGTGCTGATTTCTTTGATTCCTCTTCCACCACATACCATTCCCAAACCACACACTGGTAAAGAACTCCAGCATACTCAATGAAACTACAGGGCTACCCTGGAATCATTTACTGATGGCTCCACAGATACTGTCAATGATTCCAGGCAATCATAACAGTCTTCACTTAGTGAGGAGATTAGACCCAATTTCTATACTCCTGATCCTCTAACCTTAAAATCTGCTTAAGAAAATTTTAAACAAATTCCTGCTATTAGTTTACATGCTCGTCCTTTAGAGCACAACCTTTGGTATCACACAGACCTAAGCTGGAAGTCCCAGTCCGCTGGGTGTGTGTAGCCTGTCACGTGGGCTCACAGAGAGAGCTGGCCCAGTGTAGTGGTAAAGTATAAGGTCCCTGGGGCCAGACTGCCTAGATCCCTGTCCCAGCTCTGCCACTTCCCAGCTGTGCAGCCATGGGCAAGCTCATTCATCTCCCTGTAACTCATCTGCCAGAGAGTGACAGTAACTGAACCTACCTCCTAGGACAGCCAAGAGGATTCAAAGATGGTGGACACGTACAGCACTTAGAATGGTGCCTGGCATCTGCTCCAAGCCTCCCAGTAACATCCATCACATTCCTCATAATAGGTCTTTCCACACTGACTGGACCCACCTCCTTCCTAGTCATTCATCACTAAAAACATAACTCATTGAGTGCCCAGAACATACCGGATGCTGCATTAGAAATACGGATATATTATGAACAAGGCTGATAGGGCTGCTGCCCCCACAGACGGTTCCAGTTCTAAGTGGTAGAATCCAAGCACTCTCTAGGGATTGGAGGGAGGTGAGAGCTAGCCCATTGCATGACTTTCACTTTCACACTGCATTCCCGGGAGCCCTAGTGTTCTTTACTGGGACCAAAGAGGAAAGAGAAGGAGACTGGGCAGGTGGAGGGCTTCAGGCCCCATCCCTGCTCCAACCAGCACAGCTCCACATTCAGTCTGTGTTATACTCTAGGGAGGGTTCCGCTTCAGACTGCATTTAAGAAAGGATATCTATAACTAAAACAAGTTTGAAAACACAAGTAACATCCAGTAACATCCATCATTCCTCATAATAGGTCTTTCCATCCTTCACAGAAGACGGGATCCAGCCCCACACACCATTGTGTGAGACCCAAAGTCACGTGGCTATTTCCTTTCAAACATCTTCTTCAAACACGTTTGTGTGCAGAGCATCAGTGAAGTCAATCACAGCCAGTGCATCCCCATCCCAAGTGCGTCCCATGCGCAGATGCCACACCAGTACCTCATGTGCTTCTCCCACTTGACCCTGCATCACGCCTCTGCATGGATGCTTACCATCCACTCAACAACGGGAGAACTCAGTGTCACTAAGACAAGAAAATAATGGCAAAGCTGAGGTTTGAACCTAGGCTGGCCAGTTCCATAGGCTGGGAAACTAGGACAAAGCCACCAACTCAGGCCTCCATGGGGACTGTGTTCACAGGCAGGCCTAGGCTACAGACCCTAGAATAAGGGGTAAGGGATCCACATTCCTTTGACATAGCCATGAAGAGACCCTGGCATCCTGACCACAACCAAGCAGAACCCTGGGCTGGGGCGATAAGGTTTTGAAAAGAACCCACCCTCAAATAAAGCCCTGAAGGTACACCATGGGGCATGCCTCCCACATGGTGTGGACACCTACTGGCCAAAGTGCTTACAGCTTCTGTCCTGGACAGGCAGCATCCTGGGAGCTGGACAGCTTTCTCAACAAGAGACCAAGAAGAGAACAAGGGACAGCCTGAATGTCCAGAATCTGTCAATCACACCCACTGCTGGTCACGACAGTGGTGTCACTGAACCGTAGAAGAGTACAAAACCACAACAATGGAGGCAGCTGGAAAGCCCAGAAGTGTTACTCCCACTAAGGAGTTTCCCTATTGCACTTCTGCTTGCTTTTTGGCAAATGTATTTGCTATTGACAATAAGGTCTCCTTCTAACTGTAACTGTATTCGTTTAAAAGGGCTCAGAAATAAGACAGTATTATAAACTATTCTACTTTCCCTTACAAAAAAAAAAAAAATATATTCTTACCTTTGTTCTTGAATCAGGTGCCTAGATAAAAAGAAACCACAAAAAATTGTGTTAAGTACAACAAAAAGAAGCATTTTCATTGCTTTTTCAGATCTTGAGTTGAAGAGTATATTCATCTTATTAAAGGTTTCACAAAGATGAAAACAGAATTTCCTTGATCAAGACTTCCCATCTCCATCTGTTTGAATCTACGTCCTAATCAAAGAGGTCACGTTGCATTTTCCTTCTATCTTCATTTTCTCCAGGTGGAAGCTCACTGATCTAGTCTCAGGAAGGTTCCATGCTCCAGGGTCATTATTGTGTATTTCCACATGGTCTCACAGCTGTAAGCACTGTGAGAAGCACAGTTCTTGCACTCCTGGTCACTCTCACTGCACCTGTCCTTGCTGGAAGGCCACCATTCCTTGCCCAGGCGATTTCCACATCCTAACTGGTCTTCCTGCCTCTGGCCCAAGCCTCCTCAATGACAAGCCCTTGCCTCCCCAGTAGAGCCGCAGCTCTGTTTCTGAAAGGCCCACTGGGAAATGTGGGGAGGGAGACAAATACACCTGTTTGGAGAGACTGTGCTGAAAGAGAACTGTACCTGGATGCCCAAGGAATTACTTCAAGACAACTGTGAGCTCAAGCTAACTAGAAGAATTCACAAGCCTGGATGGCTGACTTACACAAGAGAGGGAGAGAGAAAATGAGAGGAGAGGGAAAGGTTAAACTTGATCCTAAAAACTGAAGTCCAGACAAATAATGGTGCCATGAACCACCCTACCCCTGTACCCCTCATAAAAAGGAAATTGGGAAGGGACCCCTTTGACAATAATCATGTTTCTGGCGGGGGGGTTATTTTGTTTTGTTAAGAGACCAGGTCTCACTCTGTCACCCAGGCTGGAGTGTGATCATAGCTCACTGCAACCTTAGCTCACTGCAACCTCAGCCTCTTGGGCTCAAGTGATCCTCCTGTCTTAGCCTCTTGAGTAGCTGGGACGACAGGTGTGCACAACCATGCCACACTAGTTTTTTTATTCTTTGTAAGGCAGGGTCTCACTATGTTGCCCAGGCTGGTTCTTGAACTCTTAGCCTCAAGTGATCCTCCTGCCTCAGCCTATCATATGGTTTTTTAATCACTGAAAAAAGTCTTCTTGCCTTGCCACCCTCCATCTCATCTGTCATGTGGGCCAGTGGCCTCACTCATTTCTTCAGTTTAGGGTTCAGACACTGCAACCAGAGAGAAGGGGGCCCTTCACCACCGTGCCCTCTTCTCCCATTTCCTGTTCTTTCCTGACTGCCTGTGTCATCTGCCAACCAAAAAGTGGATTTCCTCTTATTTTCTGGCCTGTTTCTGAGAGAGAGCCCTTTTCGGGGCTAATAAGATTATTTCGAGGCGGCGGCACCGCGCGGGAGGGAGCTTGGTTGTGTCGGTGGGTTCCCGTGCGGCGGCGGCCAAGGAGCAGGAGACACAGTTGGAGCCGCTCCGTGGGCTGACTGGGGCGAGGCCTCAGCAGCGCGAGCTTGAGTGCGGCCGAGCCCGCGGCGCCTTCCCCGGCTGGTGGGGACGAGCGGGCCCCGCGGCGTCATCGGCGGCGAGGAGCCGCCGCGCCTCGGCCTAGCATGTCGGAAGCGGGCGAGGAGCAGCCCATGGAGACGACGGGCGCCACCGAGAACGGACATGAGGCAGTCCCTGAAGGCGAGTCCCCGGCCGGGGCTGGCACGGGCGCCACGGGCGCCACGGCGGGGGCTGGAGGCGCGACCGCGGCGCCCCCGAGCGGGAATCAGAACGGCGCCGAGGGCGACCAGATCAACGCCCGCAAGAACGAGGAGGACGCGGGAAAAATGTTCGTTGGTGGCCTGAGCTGGGATACTAGCAAAAAAGATTTAAAAGACTATTTTACTAAATTTGGAGAGGTCGTTGACTGTACAATAAAAATGGATCCCAACACTGGACGGTCAAGAGGGTTTGGGTTTATCCTGTTCAAAGATGCAGCCAGTGTGGAGAAGGTCCTAGACCAGATGGAGCACAGGCTGGATGGCCGTGTCATTGACCCTAAAAAGGCCATGGCTATGAAGAAGGACCCGGTGAAGAAAATCTTCGTTGGGGGTCTGAATCCTGAAGCAACTGAGGAAAAGATCAGGGAGTACTTTGGCGAGTTTGGGGAGATTGAGGCCATTGAACTTCCAATGGATCCAAAGTTGAACAAAAGACGAGGTTTTGTGTTTATCACCTTTAAAGAAGAAGAACCTGTGAAGAAGGTTCTGGAGAAAAAGTTCCATACTATCAGTGGAAGCAAGTGTGAGATCAAGGTGGCCCAGCCCAAAGAAGTCTATCAGCAGCAGCAGTATGGCTCTGGGGGCCGTGGAAACCGCAACCGAGGGAACCGAGGCAGCGGAGGTGGCGGTGGAGGTGGAGGTCAGAGTCAGAGTTGGAATCAGGGCTAGGGCAACTACTGGAACCAGGGCTACGGCTACCAGCAGGGCTACGGGCCTGGCTATGGCGGCTACGACTACTCGCCCTATGGCTATTACAGCTACGGCCCCGGCTACGACTACAGTCAGGGTAGTACAAACTACGGCAAGAGCCAGCGACGTGGTGGCCATCAGAATAACTACAAGCCATACTGAGGCGGCAGCAGGAGCGACCAACTGACCGCACACATGCTTTGTTTGGATATGGAGTGAACACAATTATGTACCAAATTTAACTTGGCAAACTTTCTATGGCCTGTCCCATGTGCATCTTATTTAAAATTTCCCCCATGGAAATCACTCTCCTGTTTACTATTTCCAGAGCTCTAGTTGTTTAGGCAGCGTGTGGTGTCTGAGGCCAGAGCGCCATTATGGGCTGATTTTTATTACCAGGTCCCCCAGAACCAGGTGGGAGGCTCTGCCTTCCTGCTGCCGCTCTGCAGCCTGGACCTGTGGACCCTGGTTGTAAAGAGTAAATTGTATCTTAGGAAACCAGTGTCACCTTTTTTTCACCTTTTAATTTTATATTATTTGTGTCATACATTTCCTGTAATGGAAGTGTTAATTTTACTGTACTTTTTGGTACCTTTTGGGAATCTAATGTATTGTAAGGTATTTTACACGTGTCCTGATTTTGCCACAACCTGGATATTGAAGCTATCCAAGCTTTTGAAATAAAATTTTAAAACCCCCCCAAAAAAAAAAAAGATTATTTCTGGGGCCGGGCGCGATGGCTCAAGCCTGTAATCCCAGCACTTTGGGAGGCCGAGATGGGTGGATCACGAGGTCAGGAGATCGAGACCATCCTGGCTAACATGGTGAAACCCCGTCTCTACTAAGAAATACAAAAAAACTAGCCGGGTGAGGTGGCGAGCGCCTATAGTCCCAGCTACTCGGGAGGCTGAGGCAGGAGAATGGCGTGAACCCGGGAGGCAGAGCTTGCGGTGAGCTGAGATCTGGCCACTGCACTCCAGCCTGGGCGACAGAGTGAGACTCCGTCTCAAAAAAAAAAAAAAAAAGATTATTTCTGTCACAGACATGAAGATGTTTTTATGATTTCTAAAGTTTTTAGTTACTACTAAAGATTTGTTTTTATTCAGGAGACAGGTATTGGTTACCATCAAAATGAATGAAAGAAAAAAATCAACAAAAGCAAAATATGAGCTAATTATATAAAAATAAATTATTTAAAGGATTATTTCAATAATCACTGATACAAAAGTACTGGAGAAATTTAAACTTGAGTGTCAATCATGTACTGAAATTATTCTATACTTGTCATATTTTAAAAGGGCAGAAAGAACAGAAACATACCTAATGAGTAAGTTCCACTTCAAAACAATTCTTACCCTCAGAATTTCCGGGCTGCTGTAAAAAGCCATGCTGAGGGCTTCAATTTCTTCACACTGTTCTAAATTTATTTTTCTGGTACACCTAACAGCCTGGTTCACCAGAAACGCTGGAAATCATTAACATTACCAAGGGAAAAAAATACAAAAGAGAAGAAATTTTTCAATTTCCCAATGGCAACTAAAAAATTGCAATCTAGGTAAAACTGTAAAATAAGTTACAACACAGATATACAATTTTTTTTAGTTTTATTTTTTTAGTAGAGACAGGGTTTCACCATGTTGCCCAGGCTAGTCTCAAACTCCTGACCTCAAGTGATCCACTCGCCTCGGCCTCCCAGAGTGCTGGGATTACAGGTGTGAACCAGTGCGCCTGGCCTACAATATTTTAAACAGGGTTTTAAATTATTTTTCAAATAGGTAATACATTCATGAGATTGTATTCAAAATTCAAAAAGCACAAAAAGATAATAAGTAAAGCCCCCTCCCATTCCTGTCTTGCCCCCCACCTACCACCAGTCCCCTTCTCCAGAGGCAACTGGCAAGAGGCTTCTTGTGTATCTTTCGAGAAATATTCTATGGAAAAAAAGCAAGTATGTGTGTAAAAAACATATATATATATAGTTATTATTCTTTCCCCTTTTGGAAACAAATGTACAATATATATACTATTCTGCCCCTCATTTTGTTCACTGAACAATATATCTTAAGAGATTGGCCTGTCTTTACATGAAGCAGCTCTTCCTTTCTTGGGGATAATTAGTATTATATTATAGATGTGGCATAATTATTGTACCAGTTCCCTATTAATGAACATTTAAGTTGTCTCCATCTTTGCTATCACCAACAATGCTGCAATCTATTATTTTGCATGTTGGCCAGCATTTCTGTAGGATCAACTCCTGGAAGTAGAACAGCTGGGTTGAAAAGCACATTTATTGGTAATCTGGATACAAATTGCTAAGTTGCCCTTCACCAAGGTTGTACCAATTTAGTCTTATCAGCTATGTAGGCGAGTGCCTATTTCCCCACAGCTTCAGTTTTTTTGAGTTTTGCCAATGTGACAGGGGAAAATGGTATCTCAGTTTGGTTTTTAGGTTTTGTCGCAGTGGGGGAGTTGTTTTTTTGTTTTCTTTTTCTTTTTCTTTGAGACAGGGTCTCGTTCTGTCACCCAGGATGGAGTGCAGTGGTGCAATTTCAGCTCACTGCAACCTCCACCTCCCTGGCTCAAGCAATCTTCCTACCTCAGCCTCCTGAGTAGCTGGAACTACAGATGTGCATCACTATGTCTGGCCTGATTTTTGTAATTTTTATAAAGACAGGGTTTCGCTATGTTGCCCAGGCTCAAACTTCTAATCTCAAGCAATCTGCCCACCTCAGCCTCCCAAAGTGCTGCGATTAGAGGCATTAACAGCTGCACCCAGCCTTTGGTTTGGTTTTAATTTACACTGTTCTTGGTGTGTGCAAGATTGTCTTTTCAGCAGAATACATTTTCCTATCGTCCATTACTTAGCTTCTTCATTGTGAGGTCCCTTGGGGATGGCAGAGCCAAGCCTCTGCCTTCCACTGCCTAGGGGGCCACTCTGCAAACTCGTAGAGGCCCCCGAATGGAGAGGAGCATAGGGGAGCACAGGCTGCAGGCCAACTGCATCCCTGCTCCACCACCACCTGAGTGAGCCTGAATAAGAAACTGCACATCTCCGTTTCCTGCTCTAAAAAATGGAGATACTGGCCAGGTGCGGTGGCTCACACCTGTAATCCCAGCACTTTGGGAGGCTGAGGTGGGCAGATCACAAGGTCAGGAGATCGAGACCATCCCGGCTAACATGGTGAAACACTGTCTCTACCAAAAATACAAAAAATTAGCCGGGCGTGATGGCGGGCACCTGTAGTCCCAGGTACTCGGGAGGCTGAGGCAGGAGAATGGCATGAACCCGGGAGGCGGAGTTTGCAGTGAACCGAGATGGTGTCACTGCACTCCAGCCTGGGCGAGAGCGAGACTGTCTCAAAAAAAAAAAAAAAAAAAAAAAAAAAACAAAGAAAAACAAACCAAAAAAACCGGAGATACTAACCTCAAGGGATTACAGAGAGAATTAAAGGGAAAACACATGCAAGCACTTAACATAATACCCAGTACAAATAAGTGCTTAATAATTGTTAGCTGTTGATATGCTTTAGAACTTTCCAATAACTGGAAGTAAACAATTGAGTGAGCTGTTTTCAGGTAGTCAGTTCCCCATCACTACAAGTGCTCAAGCAGTGGCTGCACGTGGTAGAAAAGACTGGCCCTGAGTGGGAAATTGAACTACATGACCTTTGAGGCCTCTTTAACCCGAAGATTCTGTTTCTAGTCACAAGGCCTGTTTAATTATGACTACTACAAATGTAAGGTATTAAGTTGGTGCAAAAATAATTGCGATTTTGGTCATTACTTTTAATGGCAAAAACCACAACTACTTTTCCACTAACCTAATAATAACAGCAAATGTCTAAGGAAAGAAGAATGGCCACTTTCTTACCTGCAGGGTTATTATCAGTACACAGAGATGATGTCAGGGATGAAGGAAATCTCAGAAACGAATCTGAAGTCTGCAGAGGAACCCCATACTGCAAACACAACAACCAACAGTAATTATGGTGTAATTAAGGTATTCATTCAACACTTTACTGGGCACCTACAACGTGCCAAGCAGCACTGCAGGCATCAGGGACACAGTGATGAGCAAAAAATAGATGTGGTCCTTGCCCTCAAGAAGCTCACATTTAATTGTGTCGCCATTTTTTAAAGGATGTGTGTTTGTGTGTGCATGTTACTGTATTTGTAGGCTTCTTAGTCATGGAATTCCTCTGGAAGGGTACATGAGACACTGACATAACAGTGTGCCTCTGCAGACAGGAACTAGGTGGCTGGACACAGGGGTGAGAGAATTATTTTTCACTAGCATTAATTATTTAAATAACATATACAGTATACATTAAAATAAAAATCAATTTTTAATGAATCAATTTTATGAAAGAATGCCTTCTTTCCCAAAACCAAACCCCACAAAATTATTTCCCAATCTTCAAAACTCAGATTAATAGCTATTAGGTTTATAGCCAATTTTCTCGAACTTGCAAGTTTATCCAAATGCTTTAGTGCCAGCAGGAGTATGGGAAACAAGTCCTTCCACTCACTGGAGCTGGGAGTGTAAAGCACTGCAATTTTTCTGGAGAGCAATCTGGTATCAATATTTAAATTTTCCATTCATTTTACCAAACTAACTCATTTATAGGAATGTATCCTAAGGATTTCATCAGTGAAGTGTACAAAAATGTATGTATATATGAGACTGTTCATTGTGGATAAAAGCAAAAACTGGAAATATGTCTGTTAAGAGTGGAACAGCTCAGATACATACACAGAAAAGAATATTTTGGTTTTTGTTTTTCCTGAGATAGAGTCTCGCTCTGTTGCCCAGGCTGGAGTGCAGTGGCATGATCTCAGCTCACTGCAACCTCCGCTTCCTGGGCTCAAGTGATCCTCGTGCCTCAGCCTTCCAAGTCGCTGGAACTACAGGAATGCGCCACCATGCTCTGCTAATTTTTGTATTTTAGTAGACATGGGGTTTCACTATATCGTCCAGGCTGGTGTGGAACTCCTGACCTCAAGTGATTTGCCCGCCTCAGCCTCCCAAAGTGCTGGGATTATAGGCGTGAGCCACCGCGCCAAGAATACTTTGTAAACTGCAGCTCTTGGCTGGGTGCGGTGGCTCACGCCTGTAATCCCAACATTTTGGGAGGCCGAGGTGAGCAGATCACCTGAGGTCAGGAGTTCAAGACCAGCCTGGCCAACATGGTGAAACCCCATCTCTACAAAAACACAAAAGTTAGCTGAAGACCAGTCTGGCCAACATGGTGAAACCCCGTCTCTACAAAAATACAAAAATTAGCTGATCATGATGGTGGATGCCTGCAATCCCAGCTACTTGGGAGGCTGAGGTGGGAGAATCGCTTGAACCTGAGAGGCGGAGGTTGCAGTGAGCCGAGATCATACCACTGCACTCCAGCCTGGGCAACAGAGCAAGACTCTGTCTCAAAAAAAAAAAAAAAAAAGAAGCAGCAGCAGCTCTATCACTAGTTCTGACAAGTTACTTTCCCGTGCCTAAGTTTTTCTCATCAGGTAAATGGAGACAATGGTGTATCCCTCCCAGAGGGGTGCATGAAGTAATGCCTGAAAAGCTCTTCACAGTGCCAGAACATGGAAAATGCTCAATGGTAAATTTTATATTGACATGGGAAGATGCACATGACTTACCACTGAAAAAGGAATTTTCTAGAACAACATGGATAGCTATAAATCCCACTTCTATACAACACCATATATACATTATAATAGACGTATTTAAAAATCAGCAAGAATACACACCAATCTTTTCAAAGTGATTTGCAGTATGAATTTTAATGGATACAGGGATCTTTCAACTTTTACTTATATGCCTCTATACTTTGAACTTTTAGAACTAGTACATGTTGCTTTCATACTTTCCTTTTAAAAAAAGTTAAGGTTCCAAAAAAGTTAAGGTTCATTCAAAGTTAATATGTGTCGCATTTAAAGATGTACTACTGAATAGACATAAAACAGCACACATCTTCCAAAATCCGTAAAACTAAATACAATTTTGAGAAGATGACCAGGTATCCAACTAATCTACTCCATGGTCTCAGCAACGTGCCTCAAGCATTTTGCTACATCTTTTAAGGTTGAGGAGAACAAAGAACTCTGAAGACACAAAATACAAGTTTATCACAGAATAAACAACCTTAAATCCTCTATTCAGAATTCAAATATTCAGTTTTGTTTTATTTTTATTATTATACTTTAAGTTCTGGGATACATGTGCAGAACGTGCAGGTTTGTTACATAGATATACACATGCCATGGTGGTTTGCTGCACCCATCAACCCATCATCTACATTAGGTATTTCTCCTAATGCTATCCCCTCCCCAAGCCCCCCACCCCCCAACAGACCCCGGTGTGTGATGTTCCCCTCCCTGTGTCCATGTGTTCTCATTGTTCAACTCCCACTTATGAGTGAGAATATGCGGTGTTTTGTTTTCTGTTCCTGTGTTAGTCTGCTGAGAATGATGGTTTCCAGCTTCATCCATGTCCCTGCAAAGGACATGAACTCATCCTTTTTTATGGCTGTTTAGTATTACATGTTGTATATGTGCCACATTTTCTACATCCAGTCTATCATTGATGGGCATTTGGGTTGGTTCCAAGTCTTTGCTATTGTGAATAGTGCTGCAATAAACATACAAGGGCATGTGTCTTTACAGAATGATTTTTAATCCTTTCAGTACATACACAGTAACGGAATTGCTCGGTCAAATGGTATTTCTGGTTCGAGATCCTTGAGGAATCGCCACACTGTCTTCCACAATGGTTGAACTAATTTACACTCCCACCAACTGTAAAAGTTTTCCTATTTCTCCACATCCTCTCCAGCACCTATTGCTTCCTGACTTTTTAACAATCGTCATTCTAACTGGCGTGAGATGGTATCTCATTGTGGTTTTGATTTGCATTTCTTTAATGACCAGTGATGAGCTTTTTTCCATAGGTTTGTTGGCCGCATAAATGTCTTCTTTTGAAAAGTGTCTGTTCATATCCTTCACCCACTTTTTGATTGGGTTGTTTTTTCCTTGTAAATTTATTTAAGTTCCTTGTAGATTCTGGATATTAGCCCTTTGTCATATGGGTAGATTGCAAAAATTTTTTCCCATTCTGTAGGTCACCTGTTCACTCTGATGATAGTTTCTTTTGCTGTGCAGAAGCTCTTCAGTTTAATTAGATCCCATTTGTCAATTTTGGCTTTTGTTGCCATTGCTTTTGGTTGTTTTACTCATGAAGTCTTTGCCCATGCCTATGTCCTGAATGGTATTGCCTGGGTTTTCTTCTAGGGTTTGTATGATTTTAGGTCTTACATTTAAGTCTTTAATCCATCTTCAAATATTCAGTTTTAATTTTCATGATCTTTGATTTGTAGGCATGAACATTAAGTTATTTAGTCTATAATATCAACTCTGTCTCAGGGAAGACAGTTTTGCTGGTAACGTGAAAATTAACTTACAAGGACAAGACATTTGTGATGGGATGAAAAGAATCAACCAAGTTCAGGCTCACCTTATATTTAGCAGTAGTAGGAATATCCAGTTTGGTTGTGAAGGAAATATCTGATTCAGCATTCAATGTAAAACCATCAGATGTTTTCATCAATGTATCAAAATTATTTTCATCAGGTACTTCTGGATTAATAAAGGATAATGCAGGCTTATCTGTTTTTAAAAAAAAAAAAACAGTATTTTAAATCAGTATAAAATATATGTATAGTACGTATGATATATATAAAGGTTTTGGAAACAGTTTTTAATAGCATTAAGGCTGATGTAAAAAACAAATAGTGTCTTGGCTGGGCACATTGGCTCACACCTGTAATCTCAGCACTTTGGGAGGCCAAGGTGGGCGGATCGCCTGAGGTCAGGAGTTTGAGACCAGCCTGGCCAAATGGTGAAACCTTGTCTCTACTAAAAATACAAAGATTAGCCAGGCATGGTGGTGCACAACTGTAATCCCAGCTGCTCAGGAGGCTGAGGCAGGAGAATCGCTGAAACCCAGGAGGCAGAGGCTGCAGTGAGCTGAGATGGCGCCACTGTACTCCAGCCTGGGCAACAGAGCAAGACTCCATCTCAAAAAAAAAAAAAAAAAAAAAGTGTATTTTTCCATATTCACTTCTCCCAGGAATTTTTAAAGCTTATTCAATAAATAGGACCTCCGGACTCAGCCTGCTTCTTCTAATAATGGGGAAGTAATAGTTTATAGCATCTACAAGTGAACAGCACAACAGAAGCCAATAATAATCTGTCTATTTCTCTAGCCCATGGACTGATGAGTCTGCTGTATCAACCTGTAAGGAGAAGCTCTCTCCGGATGGCTATGGGAATGAAAGAATCCGATTTCTACTCTCACACAGCCACTGTGAAAGTCCTGGAGAAAAATGTGCTGTATACAGAAGAGAGAGAAGGGAGCAGGCTGGCATGTTCACTGGGCTGGTGTTACGACAGAGAACCTGAGTCACTGGCCAGTTATCACTTCAGACTACAAACCACACAGAGCATCTGTCTGTTCAATCACAAGAGAATAAAACCAAAATCTGTAAAGATATTCTGAAAATATGACAGAGTTTAATTGACAAATAAAAGCATAAATGTGTCTCTGATCTTTGATATCCTGATAACATTTTACATGCACTTGTACTTTGGATCTAGAAATATATTTGAGCTAAATGCTCAGATAAAAATAAAGATCCTGTTTTCATGCAAATATTCTTAGTAAAAATAAAAGAAAAAAAGGAAATAGAAACCACAGGTAATGTTCAAAGCTGAGCCTGATTTTCAACCATTAAACCAGGAGGAAATAAAGTTAAAAAAACACACGTATATATAGAAACCTAGATTCCTATGTATGTCTGCATATTATAAACACCTTTGAGATAAGTATAAGGTTTCAAAAGACAACTACACAAGCATAATTACTTTTAAAGAAAATGTGCATGCCCACAGGTCTATAAAGTTACTTCCTATTACCTGTGAAATGGTCTCTAAAGAGATACACTATACATATAGCAATATATAGAATAATTGCTTTAAATCTAACTGAGGGTTGGACGAGGCAGTTCACACCTGTAATCTCAGCATTTTGAGAGGTCGAGGCAGGAGAATCATTTAACGACAGGAGTTTGAGACTAGCCTGGCCAACATGGTGAAACCCTATCTCTACTGAAAATAAAAAATTAGCTGGGTGTGGTGGCAGGTGCCTGTAATCTCAGCTACTCAGGAGGCTGAGGCAGGAGAATCACTTGAACCTGGGAGGCAGAGGTTGCAGTGAGCCGAGATTGTGCCACTGCATTCCAGCCTGAGTGACAGAGTAAGACTCTGTCTCAAAAAAAAAAAAAAAAAAGGCTGGACGCGGTGGCTCACGCCTGTAATCCCAGCACTTTGGGAGGCCGAGGTGGGCAGATCACCTGAGGTCGGGAGTTCAAGACCAGCCTGACCAACATGGAGAAACTCCAACTCTACTAAAAATACAAAACTGGCTGGGCATGGTGGTCCATGCCTGTAATCCCAGCTACTTGGGAGGCTGAGGCAAGAGACTTGCTTGAACCCAAGAGGCTGAGGTTGTGGTGAGCTGAGATCGAGCCATTGCACTCTAGCCTGGGCAACAAGAGTGAAACTCTGTCTCAAAACAAACAAACAAAAAAAAAAAAAAAAACACAAAAATTAGCCAGGCGTGGTGGCAGGCACCTGTAATCCCAGCTACTCAGTAGGCTGAGGCAGGAGAATCACTTGAATCTGGGAGGTAGAGGTTGCAGTGAGCTCAGATTGTGCTACTGCACTCTAGCCTAGATGACAGAGCAAGACTCTGTCTCAAAAAAATAATAATCATAATCATACAATAAATCTGAGACATTTTTCCATAACTTTGAGAAAAAATTTTCAGAGTTTCACAAAACATATCAACGTCAAATACTTACAGTTTGTAATATGAATGCAGAAAATAGATGGACTAATCTGTTCAACAAGTTTAAATACTCTTTGAGGTGGGTTTGCTGTAAAATTCAATGAATAGATGACTGCTTTTTGACTACAAAACTGGCTGTCACCCCTGAAAATTAAAAAAATAATAATACGAAGTTACAAGACATAAGCACACAATCTTAGCAAGATTATTTAAAAACTGTCAGATGCTTGTACTATACTATGTTAACAGTTATGTGGAGGATATTTATGAAAGCATGACATTAGAATTGAATCCGGCAGGGCACGGTGGCTCACACCTGTAATTCCAGCACTTTGGGGGGCCGAGGTGGGCAGATCACAAGATCAGGAGATTGAGACGAGCCTGATGGTAAGGCTCTTTTACAAGATGGTAAAACCCCATCTCTACTAAAAATACAAAAATTAGCCGGGCATGGTGGCGTGTGCCTATAATCCCAGCTACTACGGAGGCTGAGGCACGAACATCGTTTGAACCAAAAGGGCAGAGGTTGCAGTGAGCCGAGATCGTGCCACTGCACTGCAGCCTGGCAATACAGTGATACTTCATCTCAAAAAAAAAAAAATTGGATCTTTTTTTGAGAGGTAGTCTTACTCTCCCAGGCTGGAGTGCAGTGGCACGATCTCAGCTCACTGCAAACTCTGCATCCCAGGTTCAAGTGATTCTCCTGCCTCAGCCTCCCAAGTAGTTGGGACTACAGGTGTGCACTGCCACGCCTGGCTGATTTTTGTATTTTCATTAGAGACAGGGTTTCACCATGTTGGCCAGGCTGGTCTCAAACTCCTTACCTCAGATGATCCACCCGCCTCGGCCTCCCAAAGTGCTGGGATTACAGGGATGAGTCACCACACCCAGCTGAATCCATTTTTATTTAGTTTATTCTGTGTTAAAATATTTTGCACTGGCCGGGCACAGTGGCTCACACCTGTAATCCCAGCACTTTGGGAGGCCGAAGCAGGCGGATCATGAGGTCAGGGGATTGAGACCAGCCTGGCAAACACAGTGAAACCCCGTCTCCATTAAAAATACAAAACATTAGCCGGGCATGGTGGTGGGCGCCTGTAGTCCCAGCTACTCGGGAGGCTGAGGCAGGAGAACGGCATGAACCCGGGAGGTGGAGCTTGCAGTGAGCCGAGATCGTGCCACTGTACTCTAGCCTGGGTGACAGAGCAAGACTCCATCTCAAAAAAAAAAAAAAAAATTTGCATTTGGGCCAAGCACAGTGGCATGCACCTATATTACCAACTACTCAGGAGATTAAGATGGGAGGATCACTTGAGGTCAGGAGTTCGAGGCCAGTCTGGTAACACAGTGAGACCCTGATCTCTTTAAAAAAAAAAAAAAAAAAGTTTGGCATTTAAAACTTTTTCCTCTAACAGAAAAAAAAAAAAATTGAGACAAGTAGAATAGCTTTTAAGGAAATCTTGTCAAGAAATGTAGATCAGGGTATAATTTTTATGTCAATGAACCTTATAAACTCTGATAGAATCAATTAGATAAAATTTTGCAGACCTTCAGATTGTTTAAAAGTACCCAGAACAGATCCAAATTCCTTGTCTTTAGAATAAAGCTGTCTTCAAAGGACTGTGAGAATAAGAAAATGTGGAGTCATCTGGAAGGTTTAATGCTTAGAAGTTATGGTACAGGGGCAGGCACAGTGTGGCTCATGCCTGTAATCCCAGCACTTCGGGAGGCTGAGGCGGGTGCATCACCTGAGATCAGTCATCTGGAAGGTTTAATGCTTACAAGTTATGGTACAGGGCCAGGCACAGTGGATCATGCCTATAATCCCGGAACTTTGGGAGGCTGAGGCCAGCGGATCACCTCAGGTCAGGCCTGGCCAACATGGCGAAACTCTGTCTCTACTAAAAATACAAAAATTAGCCAGGCGTGGTGGCATGCGGAGACTGAGGCAGGAGTATTGCCTGAGCCTGGGAGGTTGCAGTGAGCCAAGATCATGCCACTACACTCCAGCCTGGGCGACACAGTGAGACTCTGTCTCAAAAAAAAAAAAAAAAAAAGGAAGTTGCAAGTCTTCAACCAATCCCAGATTTGACAAACCCCAATCAATTTGCTATAGATATGGATATGGTACAGGCCAAGCACCATGGTTCATGCCTCTAATCCCAGCATTTTGAGAGGCTGAGGAGGATCATTTGAGGCCAGGAATTCAAGACCAGCCTGGGCAACACAGACCCCTATCTCTACAAAAAACAAGGAAAAAATTAGCCCAGCATGCTGGCAGATGCCCATAGTTCTAACTACTTGGGAGCCTGAGGTAGGAGGACTTGAGCCCAGGAGCTAGGTTACAGTGAACTATGATCGTGTCACTGCACTCCAGCCTGGGTGACAGAGCAAGACCTGTCTCAAAAAAATATAGAGGCTGGGCACAGTGACTCATGCCTACCATGCCGGTACTTTGGGAAGGCCATGGCAGAAGGATCACTTGAAGCCAGGAGTTCAAGACCAGCCTGGGCAACAAAGTGAGACCTTGTCTCTATAAAAAAAAAAAAAAAAAAAAAAAAGTTAGCTGGATAGATAATGGTATAGAGATAAAGTCATAATAAAAATGGGACCATATTCTACATACTGTTTTAAGGCTTTTCTCACTTAATATATAATGCCTAATATGCACTTGCAATATTATACTAAGTGGTTTCATTGTATACCAGCCTATTAATACCCCAATTTGTTCAACCAATTCTCTACTGTTGGTTTAGGTTTCTAATTTTCCCCAATTATATGTAATGCTATAATGACATCCTTATACATACATCTTTATGAGTGTCTCCAGGTGTTTCCTTAGGATATGTTTCCTGAAGTGGAACTGCTAAGCCAAAAGGCAGGTAACATTATTTAAGGCTTCTGAGACACACTCCCAGATTGCCCTCTAGAAGGGCACAATATACATTCTCACGAACACTGTAGTAAGAGTGCCTATTTCCCTGTACTCTTGCCAAGACTGGATATTATCATTCGGTTTTTACTGGGCCTTAAAGGGTAAGTAGAAATCAGATAGACAGTAGGAATGGGAAGCAAATCCAAGTGCAAGAACAGCAATGGCCAAGGCTGGGTAACAACTCATGGTCTTTGGGAAACTCTGAGTACCGAGGTTGGACTGGAGTGGATTCAAGACGGCTGGTAGCAGGCAACAGGCTCTGAAAGAAGGTGGGAATCAATCTGAATCCAGGCTAAGAAGCCTATAGATAATGATAACTTCTGAAGGTCTTTTAGTGAGCGCCTGACAGGATGAGGTGTGAGCTCATAAAGCAGGAGCAGGGATGGACGACCATAAGGGCTAGAGTGATGAAAGGCTCCACAGAATGGGACTCCTTACTCCCCTCCAGTCAACCACCTCCCCAATCCTGCGCAGTATTTCAGTATCATCATCAGATCTAGATACTTCTCTCTAGCCCCACTGTCACAGCTTTTGGGGAAGGTGGGGAGGGAAACCGTTAATCCACATCTGCAATAGCTTTTAACTTGGTTCTCTGCCACCAGGCTTGGCCTTGTGATCCACTGCACATGCTGCTGCAGAATTACAGAAGATGTGAATCTGATCCTCTTAACAACCCAGGCCCTGTGGACTTCAGGACAGAGTCCAAACCCCTCAGCATACACACAAGGCCCCTGGGGACCTGACCCCTGATCTCTTTGCTATACTCCTCTCACCCCACCCCTCTCTGGCCACACTGAGTTACCTGCAGTTAAGCAGGCCATCCTGCATCCCCCATCTCTGCCCATGCAGCTCCCTCTGCCTGGAATGCCCTTCCCCTCGGTCCATGCTGACCATCTTCCACGTGTCCTTCAGGACCCAGCTCAGCTCCTGTCTTCTGGGGAGCATTTCTTAGTGAGGCTGAGTTAGATGCCATTCCTCTGCCTTCTCATCGTGCTTGATGTAGAAACTGCCATCCACTCTTCTGTCTCCCTTACTCAATAGTAAGTTCTTTGAAGGCAGGAGAGTGCCTAACTCATCTTTATGTCCCTGGTGCTGGCATCAGGAGGTGCTCAAGAAAGGTTGGGAGAAAGGAAAGACTGCTGAGACAGGAAAAGTGAAAGGAAGAGGCAGGGGTCAGGGGAGCCTCCAGGTTTCTGGCCTGGTGTCTGCCTAAAAGACTAATGGTAGAGGAAGTCAAAAAGGGACACTAGGAAATCAGTTAGAGATGGAGAGGAGAAATTCATTCATCCATTCAACTCATTATTATTATTATTATTATTATTATTATTATTTTGACAGAGTTTCGTTCTTGTTGCCCAGGCTAGAGTGCAATGGCGCAATCTTGGCTCCTGCAACCTCTGCCTCCCAGGTTCAAGCGATTCTCCCACCTCAGCCTCTGAGTAGCTGGGATTACAGGCACCCACCACCACGCCCAGCTAATTTTTGTATTTTTAGTAAAGACGGGGTTTCACCGCCTTGGACAGGCTGGTCTCGAACTCCTGACCTCAAGTGATCCACACACCTCCATCTCCCAAAGAGCTGGGATTACAGGCATGAAACACCGTGCCCAGCCAATTCAACTCATTCTTAATGAGGGCCCACTACAAGGTAGGAGCTCTACTAGGCACTAATGGTTCAGAAGTAAAGAGATCCTCCAGGCGGGACGCAGTGGCTCACACCTGTAATCCCAGCACTTTGGGAGGCCGAGGTGGGCGGATCACGAGGTCAGGAGTTCGAGACCATCCTAACACGGTGAAATCCTGTCTCAACTAAAAATATAAAACATTAGCTGGGCGTGGTGGTACACGCCTGTAGTCCCAGCTCCTCAGGAGGCTGAGACAGGAAAATTGCTTGAACCCGGGAGGTAGAGGTTGCAGTGAGCCAAGATGGAGCCCCTGCCCTCCAGCCTGGGCAACAAAGCAAGACTGTCTCAAAAAAAAAAAAAAAAAAATAGCCCCAAGTTGGAGCAAAAATCTCACTTTCAGGCTCCTGTATTTACTAAGGGAGGAAAACAGAATGATTTTCAATAAATACTGAAACATGCTACAGGCCAGGTAGCCAGAAAATTAATCTGACTATATTGCCCTGTTCTCTGAGCATTTTTACAATACTAGAAATAGGCTCAAAATCCCATTAGTCAATAAAATAGTTTCCCACAGGAAAAACCCATTGTACCTCTTAAAAGGTTCACCTATCAAATATCAATTGCTAAAACTTGCTATAAGGCTAAATTTAAATTAGCTATCTCTGAATACTAAGTTGGTCCCATCCTGAATTAATGAGCCTCTTCTAAGTGCTGCTAGTTTTTCAAAAAGCCTTGAAGCTAGGCGCGTTGGCTTACGCCTGAAATCCCAGCACTTCGGGAGGCCAAGGCGGGTGGATCACCTGAGGTCAGCAGTTTGAGACCAGCCTGACCAATATGGTGAAACCCCGGCTCTACTAAAAATATGCCAGGTATTGTGGCGTGCACCTATGGTCCCAGCTGCTCGGGAGGCTGAGAAAGGAGAACTACTTGAAGCCAGGAGGCAGAGGTTGCAGTGAGCCACTATCGCACCACTGCACTCCACTCTGGGTGACAGAGCGAGACTCCATCTCATTTAAAAAAAAAAAAAAAAAAAAGGCTTGAAATCTCAATTATAAGAGATCATTCAGAACAGATTATTTCTTTACCTTATAATCAGCTGGGAATGTCATTTTTCATTGTTCTATACAATGCGAACTGTGAGAATTCCTGGTAGATTTACATATCAGAAAAGCACAAAGATTTCTTATCTAATTTTTTGTTACAAGTACTATGTCCACAACAAAAGCTGTGAAATTAAACTGCACTTTTCACCCTAGGCTGTACTAATTCACTGATACAAAAAATGTGACCACTGTCTGTTTACAACTCAAATTGAAATGTGATTCAATCTCTAAACAAAGAGGTTTCATTACATTCTTTTAATGTACATTATCTCTTCTCTTTTGCCCGCACAGTCACCTGGTTGAATACAGATAAGGGACAGCTACTTTTTTTTTTTTTTTTGAGACGAGTCTCACTCTGTCGCCCAGGCTGGAGTGCAGTGGCGAGATCTCCGCTCACTGCAAGCTCCGCCTCCCGGGTTCACACCATTCTCCTGCCTCAGCCTCCCCAGTAGCTGGGACAGGTGCCCGCCACCACGCCTGGCTAATTTGTTTGGATTTTTAGTAGAGACGGGGTTTCACCGTGATAGCCAGAATGGTCTCAGTCTCCTGATCTGGTGATCCACCCACCTCAGCCTCCCAAAAGTGCTGGGATTACGGTGTGAGCCACCGCACCTGGCCAGGGACAGCTACTTTTTTACATATTTGTTTGGATAGTATGGCTTCAGAACGATGCAAAACACCGGAAATCAGGTTTGGGTTTTTAAGCCTGGGAAAGTTTTCCCTTTCCCCAAATTGTATTATCCTGGTCAAATTTTATCAAAATTGCATATGTCATACGTAAACTTACATGACAACTGGAACTGAGCAGGCAGAAAAGACACTGAAATCCACAGAGCTGCAGTCAGGATCACAGCAGCAGTTGACGTCACACTGTGCTGGGGACAAGTCACAGACACACAGAGCAGCAACTGCAGAAAAAAGAGGGGTAGGATCCAGAGCATCACCATCAGCAGGTGGTGACTGCCCCCTGCCACCACAGTGTACCATAAGTCAATTTCATACAAAGGGTCCATTTTATTTTTCCTATTGCACTTTGGGGGAAATTTGTGAAGTGGAAATGAGTCAGTTTGAGCATTCCACAATTAGAGGTTTCCCCAAAGTTGCTAATGATCTGACTCGCTTGGAAAGTTCTGTTAGTGCTTTGCCTACAGAGATGCTGATTTGGTAAGCTGAATACGAAACCCAGGCATTTGCAGCTTTCAGAAACTTTCCAGGTGATACTTATAATTAGACAAGTTTAAGAACCAGCACGCCTAAACCATTTGCCTGACCATAGAACCACCAGTTTAAAACTCCAAAGTCCTTAAGCTCCTTCTCTGGAGATTATGAGTCAGAGGAAGGGCCCACTTAAACCTTCAGGAAAGAGGTTTTTCAACCTTGCCCCTCTCTTCATGTATAACCTGCTGCTTTAAAGCTGAACTCATATTCACAGATTCTTGGCCAAGAATCATAACGGCTCAGGTGCTCAAAATGTCTTTGGTGATTCAGACAATAAGGTTTGAGGGCAGGGTAGGAATCTCCCCCACGTCACAACTTCTATTTTATTTTATTTTTAAAGGAGTTTCAGCTCCTGTTGCCCAGGCTGGAGTGCAATGGTGCAGTCTTGGCTCACTACAACCTCCGCCTCCTGGGTTCAAGCTATTCTCCTGCCTCAGCCTCCTGAGTAGCTGGGATTATAGGCATGCACTACCATGCCCGGCTTTTTTTTTTTTTTTTTTTTTTTTTTTTTGTATTTTTAGTAAAGATGGGGTTTCACCATGTTGGCCAGGCTGGTCTTGAACTCCTGACCTCAAGTGATCCACTGGCCTCAGCCGCCCAAAGTGCTGGGATTACAGGCGTGAGCCACCGCTCCTGGCCAACTTTTAATTATTAATAAGGATGATTTTTCTTTGCCGCTTTGTAACAAAAATGATTATCTGGATTTTCAATTCTCTATTTTATTCTGTCAAATAAGGAAGAGAAAACCCTTTTAAAAAAAATAGAGAATGAATTTATGGTTGCAATTATTGCTGGAAGGGAAGAAGTAAGATCAACCTTCAATCATATCTGTAATGTTTTCTTTTTCAAAAGAAGATTTCAAGGCCAGGCATGGTGGCTTACACCTGTAATTCCAGCACTTTGGGAGGCGGGCAGATCACTTGAGGTCAGGAGTTTGAGACTACCCTGGCCAACATGGTTAAACCCTGTCTGTCTTAAAAATACAAAAATTAGCCAGGCATGGTGGTGGGCGCCTGTAATCCCAGCTACTCAGGGAGGCTGAGGCAGGAGAATCACTTGAACCCAAAAGGCAGAGGTTACAGTAAACTGAGATCACACCACTGCACTCCAGCCTGGATGACAGAGTAAGACTCCATCTCAAAAAAAAAAAAAAAAAAAAAAAAAAAACTCAAGCCAAAAAACAAAAATAACGAAAAAGGAATCTGAAGCAAATACTGCTGGTGTCCACCCAACATTCTTTTTTGTACGTATGAATTATTTCACGATAAAAAGGAGCTTTAGAAAAATGTACCCCAGAGTGGCCAGACACAGTCTCAACCTCAGGAGGTTGAGACCAGCCTGGCCAATACGGTAAAACCCCATCTCTACTGAAAATACAAAAATTAGCCGGGCGTGGTGGCATACACCTGTAGTCCCAGCTACTCAGGAGGCTGAGGCAGAAGAATCACCTGAACCCAGGAGGCAGAGGTTGCAGTGAGCCGAGATCGTACCACTGCACTCCAGCCTGGGCGACAGAGCAAGACTCCATCCCCCCCGAAAAAAAAAAGAAAGAAAGAAAAAAAGAAAAGAAAAGAAAAATGTATCCCATAGCTCACACCTATAATCCTAGCATTCTGGAAGGCTGAGAAGGGTGGATCCCCTGAGGTTAGGAGTTCGAGACCAGCCTGGCCAACATGGTAAAACCCCATCTCTACTAAAAATACCAAAAAAATTAGGCATGGTGGCGCACAGCTGTAATCCCAACTACTTGGGAGGCTGAGACAGGAGAATTGCTTGAACCTGGGAGGTGGAGGTTGCAGTGAGCTGAGACTGTGCCACTGCACTCCAGCCTGGGTGATAAAAAAAAGAAAAGAAAAAGTACCCCATAAAAGGTATAATGCACTCTGGAAAAAAACGTGTGAGGTGAAGGGGAAGGTTTTGTTAATACACGATAATTTCTTAGTCTAAGACACAAAAGCTTTCCCCCTAAAGTTTAGAGTGCTTCTAATTGAGAACTCTTCTATGTGCTTAGTAAAATGACACAACTTATGCATGCTAATGTAAAAAATAAAAAGTGCTTTAGGTTCCCTGTATGTTTAAAATTACAATCTTGCTTTGTTTTCAAAACTTAAAGCCCTTGTAGGTAGCTATAAGACTACTAAGGACGAAGCAATAGTGTTTAATAACTCCATAGGAAAAAGGTTTCTACCCAGGATGCGAGTGCACTTAATCATCCAACAAGTAGCTGTTGAGCCCCATCAGGTCCAAGAAGCACTCAGCTGCTCTTGCCTCCTATAGCATCTGCACACCTGGCTTATAGAGCAGGGTACTAATGAACAGAGCCCAGATTCAAGATGAAGGGTTATCACTCTTCTCCACCAACACTGCCTGCAAGCCACCTTCAATGTTCCATCCAGTTCTCCACTCAGAGTCAGCCTCCTGCTCTAATATCTATAAGTTGTGTGTTCTAAAATTAGGCAAATAATTTACCCACCTGAAAAATGGGGATAACAGTACCCTCGTGAGGTTGTAAGGATTAAATGAGATACATCATAGGTGAAATGCTTAGCACAGTGCTAAGTGAACAGTTAACAAATGAGTTATTACTGTCACAAGTCTTGAGAGGTCCTTTAAAAAAGTGAAGACAGGCGACAGGCAGAGTGTGGTGGCTCATGCCTGTAATCCTAACACTATGGGAGGCCTAGGTGGGCAATCACTTGAGGCCAGGAGTTCGAGACCAGCCTGGGCAACATGGCAAAACCCCATCTCTACAAAAAATTAGCCAGGCGTGGTGGCATGCACCTGTAGTTCCAGCTACCCAGGAGCCTGAGGTGGGAAGATCACCTGAGCCTAGGAGGTCGAGGCTGCAGTGAGCTGTGATCCTGCCACTACACTCCAGCCTGAGTGACAGAGTGAGACCCTGTATCCAAAAAAAAAATAAAATGTGGGGACAAGTACAAATTCATCCCCTATAATGGAAAAACAGCCTTGAACACATGCTATAATAATGATGTTTCAAGCATAGCTTTATTTTGGAGAGAAAATGCATTAACAGATGGAGTACTTACATGAATAAAAGACAATCCAGTCCAAAAACTACTTAGAGTTTCAGACATTGAATACTTGGCTTCATTCTGCCCCAGTTTGTCACTGATTTAACTTCCCTACTAATTCATCAAATCAACAATTTAAATATAAAAGAGCTCTGTTTATATATTAAAATAGCAAATATATTTCTCTGTAGTTTTTCTTTCAGATTACTCATAATTCAGAAAGAGCTTTTTGGAGAAATCAAGGTTCAGTAACTGAAGTTAAGTTCTAGAGTTCAAGATATCAGCTGATGACTTTTTTACCTACTAATACTGAGTCTTAATCAATCTGAGAAAAGATCTTCTTAAGAAGGAATAGGCCGGGCACAGTTGTTTACACCTGTAATCCCAGCACTTTGGAAGGCCAAGGTGGATCACTTGAGCCCAGGAGTTTGAGATCAGTCTGAACAACATAGCGAGATCTCACCTCTACTAAAAATTAAAAAATTTAAAAAGCAGGCTGGGGAAGCACACCTGTGGTTCCAGCTACTCTGGAGGCTGAGGCAAAAGGATCCCTTGAGCCCAGTAGATTGAGACTTAAGTGAGATATAATCATGCCACTGCACTCCAGCCTAGGTAACAGAGTGAGACCTCGCCTCAAAAAAAAAAAAAAAAAGACTGAAAAAAAGATTTAAAGTACTGCATACCTATTGGGTATTACTCTCAATCCACACAAGTGGAAAATTTTAAAAACTTTGAGATCATGAACCACTTTAAGAATCGGCTGCTATGAACTCTCATCTCAGGAAAAAGCATATTCACAAAGTTTTGCACTCAATCTTAGAGGGTCACAGTCATTCTCTGAAGTCATCCACGTCAATTTTTTTTTTTTTTTTTTTTTTTTTTGAGACAGTCTTGCTCTGTCGCCCAGTCTGGAGTGCAGTGGTAATTACGGCAACCTTTAGCTCCTGGGTTCAAGCTATTCTCCTGCCTTAGCCTCCCGAGTAACTGGGATTACAGGCATGCACCACCATGCCCGGCTAATTTTTCTATTTTTAGTAGAGACTGGGTTTCGCCATGTTGACCAGGCGGATCTTGAACTCCTACCTCAAGCAATCCACCCGACTTGGCGTCCCAAAGTGCTGGGATTACAGGCGTGAGCCACGGCGCCAGCCAAACGTCAAATTAGATTATAAAATATTTCCACTAAATGTGTAATTCTAGAATTAGACAATCATTTTCTGAAAAAAAATGTTAATTATCCTTAAATATGACTCCTAAGAAGTGAGCATAACCCCTCCCTCCATGGCTTCCCACCTCCAATTCAACACAGGAGAAATCCTGGGTTTTTAGAATTCAGGTCAACAGACAAGCGTCTTAACCTAGTCACATTTAGTAAGATAGACCTTTGGCCTCTCTTTAAGTGAAAGTTCCATGCAGCCTAGGCACTAATTTCCACCATTGTCTCGACTTAATTTCGTCTTGGGCTGCAAGGATTCATTCATTACTGCTCTTTGCATTACTGTTGTCTGGGATCACTTCAAGTATTTTCAAAGGTCTGATACCGTACCACTTAAACTCTCTGAGACCCGGTTTTCTCATTTACATGACAGTGATAGTAAGAGCTACTTCTCAGGGTTATTGTTTAAAGAACGGACGTTTATGGAACACTTAGTGTCTGCACACAGTAAGTGCTCAATAAGCGTTAGCTATCATTATTACGTCCTCACCCGGGCTGCCCCCTTGAGGTTGGATCCCTGTGGACCACAGGAGCTGGCACATAGTACCCACCGTCCGTGACCGGGGTAGGCCGGGGGCCGGAGGAGGACCCCGGTGCTCTAGGAGTACCGTGGGGCCTGGTCGACGGGAAGGGTCCGAAAGTCGCCAGGGCTGCCTCGGTGGAGTTGAGGCCCTCTGTCGTCACCGCCGGGGTGGCCTCGGTCTGGGCGCTCACGGAGGCCCAGCAGCTCAGGAGTACCACCAAGAGCGGCGGGAGGCCTCGCGGCCTCATCTTCCAGCTGGTCCCAGCTACGCCCGCGCCAGGGACCGCGCGTTGCCCGGCAACCGCTACACCCAGGCGCGGGGCATCACGGGAAGCGGCTTGCTAAGCCGCGAGAAGCTGCCGGAGACTGACGGGGGCGAAGCCTGGATGAGGCAGGGGGCGGAGCCTGGATGAGGCCGGAGGGCGGAGCCTGGGTGAGGCAGCGGTGGCAGGCACTAGGGCGAGCACTAGTGAGCGGCTGTGAAGCTGGCATAAACGAGAGGCGTGTAAATCCCAGCTGTGGTTCCCAACCGGTCTGCGGCGCTTACTTAAAAAATGTGGATTTTTTGTAGTTCCAGCTACTCGGGAGACTGAGGCAGGAGAATCGCTTGAACCCAGGAGGTGGAGGCTACAGTTAGCCGTGAGCGTGCCACTGCACTCCAGCCTGGGCGACAGTGCGAGACTCTGTCTCAACCAAAAAAAAAAGACGGATTTCCAGGTACCACCTCAGGAGATCCTGAGTCAGTAAGTCTAGGACAGGACCCAGGAATCAGTTTTTGGGGGATTTTTTTGAGACAGGGTCTCACTCGACATGCCGCCCAGGCTGGAGTGCAGTGGTTCGATCTCGGCTCATTGCAGCCTCGACCTCTGGGGCTCAAGCAATCCTCCCACTTCAACCTCCTGAGTAGCTGGGAACTCAGGCGCGCGCCACCATACCCAGCTAATTTTTGTATTTTTTTGTAGAGACGAGGTCTCCCTCCGTCGCCCGGGTCTCCCTCCCAGGCGTCGCCCAGACTGGTCTCAAACTCCTGGGTTCAAGTGATCCACCTGCTTCAGCCTCTTGAGTCCTGAGTAGTTGGGATTACAGGCATGAGCCACCACTCCCAGCCAGGAATAAATATTTTTAACAAATGTCCCGACACAAGCAGATGAGTTGGACGGAAATTTGGGAAGCGCGGTCTCAACACCACTAATGTGGGTGTTTCAAAGAAGCATAGGGATCTGTGAGATCACTGTCCCTGAATTCTCTCTATCCCAGACTCTGTCAACACTGGCTTCACCTTTTTTGTTTTAGCTGCTTCTCACAAGGTTGCCACATAACTTCTGTCTGCTGTATTGTGATAAAGGGGACAAATGAACACTTAATAACTTTCATTATCATTATTTTTTGTAGCGAGGGGGTCTCACTATGCTGATCAGGCTAGTCACAAACTCCTGACCTCAAGTGATCCTCCCACCTCAGCCTCCCAAAGAGCTGGGATTACAGGCATGAGCCACCACGCCAGGCCTAAGAACTTTTTTAAAGACAAAAATCTTTCACAAAAATTAAGTAAAATAATTTAGACATCTTAAAGGGGAAAACAAAGCAAATCCACTGTAATGCTACAAAATGACCTGGAGACCCTAAGATTTAGGAAAGCCTGTCCATTCTGAATGGGCTTCTTTAGGAGGTACCCAAGCCCAGGGATGTTGGCTGCACCTTTGACACTTAATCTCTGTACAATTCAGAAGTAGATATCAAAGTACTTAGACATGGCCAGGCGCAGTGGCTCACACCTGTACTCCTAGCCCTTTGGGAGGATCGCTTGAGTCCAGGAGTTGAGACCAGTCTGGGCAACATGGTGAAACCATATCTCTACAAAAAATACAAAAATTAGCCAGGTGTGGTGGCAGGTGTCTGTAGTCCCAGCTACTCAGGAGGCTGAGGTGGAAGGATCACCTCAGCCCGGAGAGCTCGAGGCTACAGTGAGCCATGATCGGGCCACTGCACTCCAAAACAAAAAAACCTTAAACATAATGCAGTATTTATTAAAGAAATGTATATACCAATTCAAAAGAATGCCAAACAGTATATATATATCTAGTTTATTAAATGTATTTAGCAAAATTAAATCATCAAAGTGATATCTTTAGCACCTTCCTGTGGCATTCCAGAGACAGTATATAAAAATATAATTGAATCACTCAAATGTGTAAGACAGATATTTCTCTTTTTTCTGCGAAGGATTGCTTTAGCATCTGACTGAAATTCTGGGCTGCTTTTAATAACTGATTAAATGCTTCCCCTTTTAAAAAAATAACCAAAAGTAGACTGGGCATGGTGGCTCACGCCTGTAATCCCAGCACTTTGGGAGGCTGAGGCGGGCAGATCATGAGGTCAAGAGATCGAGACCATCCTGGCCAACATGGTGAAACCCCGTCTTTACTAAAAATACAAAAATTAGCCGGGCGTGGTGATGGGCACCTGTAGTCCCAGCTACTCAGGAGGCTGAGGTGGGAGAACTGCTTGAATCTGGGAGGTGGAGGTTGCAGTGAGTCAAGATCACACCACTGCACTCCAGCCTGGTGACAGAGCAAGACTCCGTCTCCAAAACAAAAAAAAACACCAAAAGTATATTTTCCAAACCTTCATCTCATAACTTCTAAAACCAGGGCATATTTGTTTTCCTTTTAAACCTCTTTACTTCCAGCCCTCCACTTTCTTTCCTATTTCTTAATACCTGTGAACCATTTTGTTCTACTTTCTGTTTTGAAATTTCAGACTGCTGGATTAAATTTTGATAACTCGTCCTTTAGCTTTATAATTTTTTTTTTTTTTTTTTTTTTTTTTTTTTTTTTTTTTTTTTTTGAGATGGAGTTTCGCTCTATCGCCCAGGCTAGAGTGCAGTAGCAGGATCTTGGCTCAGTGCAACCTTTGCCTCCCAGGTTCAAGTGATTCTCCTGCCTTGGCCTCCCAAGTAGCTGGGATTACAGGCACCCGCCACCAGCCCAGCTAATTTTTGTATTTTCAGTAGAGCCGGGATTTCACCATATTGGCCAGGCTGTTCTTAAACTCTTGATCTCAAGTGATCCGCCCACCTTGGCCTCCTAAAGTGCTGGGATTACAGGTGTGAGCCACCATTCCCATCCAGTTTTATAATTTTTGTTATGGTTATAGGACCTCTGAGATCCTCTTCAGGTCTGATATCCCATTTTTCCAACAAGGACCTGCTATGATATGATTTGCCAATTTCACTGCCTCTTTTGTCCAATCTCAAATAAACACTTGGTAGATGGCCCCAAAGTAATTTTATGACATTTGACTCTGAATGAGGATTGCACCTACCCAGATACATTTTGCAAACCTTAGGAACACTGGAACTTTTCATTTCACAGGTGACCCATTTCTGCCAGCCTGTTTTCATCTTTCAACCCAGAACACACGTTCTCCCTTCCTTTTGTCCCTGGCCTTAGCAGGTTCCCTCATTAGGATGGAAGGACACAAAAGTGGCTAAGATTGAGTTCCATATTGTGCCCAAAACCTCAACATTTGGTTTGTGCAAAAATGTTTGTGATTTCAAATATCCATCTGTTTCTCCAGGATTATTGGCATTCACAATTCCTTATAGTGTATGCTGACATTGGGAGGATCAAGACAATTCAGCTTTTTAGAATTCTGTGCTGAGAAGCTGCCATATATGAGGAGCCTGAAAGAAAAAAAAAAATCAAAGATAGGAGGAGTATGTAGGTAGGGAAAAAAAAACTAAGGCTAACTTCACAAGGTAGTGTCAACCACTCTGTCTTGCTCTTTGGTGTGGTTTGAGGTGAATTGGTTATTGTTGTTGTTATTGCTGAAGTCATGGCTCCAACCTGCTTAAAATTAATAAATTAGCTGGGCATGATGGCACGTTCCTGTAAACCCAGTTACTCTGGAGGCTGAGGTGGGAGGATTTCATGATGCCGGGAGGTCAAGGGCCGCAGGGAGCCATGGTCACACTACTGCAGTCTGGCCTGGGCAACAGAGTGAGACCCTGTCTCAAAAAAAAAAAAAAAGCATAAATTTTTTTTCTGGCGATTAGTATATCTATTTTTATTTATCTTACCCAAACATTTCACAAATGAGGTGGCAGAGTCATCAAGCTTTCTAAAGGGGTTGCTTTAGAGCTACAAAGGGATCAAGACTGTGTGAAGACAGAGGTTTGGCTGTACCATTTTGACTGAAGTAACTAGTCGGGTAATTGATTTCCAGATCAACACCCAGAAGAAAATAATCCTCAACTGCTCTCATTCTCTCAGTCCCCACACACCTCATCAACCACCGAGTACTATTCTTGCTCCTTTTTTTTTTTTTTTTTTTTTTTTTTTTGAAATTGAGTCTTGCTCTGTCACTCAGGCTAGAGTGCAGTGGAGCAGTTTCGGCTCACTGCAACCTCTGCCTCCCAGGTTCAAGGGATTCTCCTGCCTCAGCCTCCCAAGTAGCTGGGACTACAGGCGCCCGCCACCGTGCCCAACTAATTTTTGTATTTTTAGTAAGACGGGGTTTCACTATCTTGACCAGATACTCGAACTCCTGACCTAGTGATCCACCCGCCTCGGCCTCCCAAAGTGCTGGGATTATAGGCATGAGCCACTGCGCCCAGCCTATTCTTGTTCTTTAAGTGTTTTCTGAAATGTTATGGGCACAGAAGGACTATCTGAGCAGACTTCACATTCTTGAAAGGTCTCACATTTGCATTTGACCTTTTCTAAAACAAAGTCATACATGCAGTCACAGACATTCACCAACAGGAATGAAATAAGAATTCCTTGTTTACCATACAGTTGGTTTTTTTTTTCTTTTTGGGTTTCTTTTTTTTTTTTCGTTGAGACAGTGTCTCATTCTTTTGCCCAGGCTGGTGTGCAATTGCCCAATCTCAGCTCACTGCAACCTCCACCTTCTGGGTTCAAGTGATTCTCCTGCCTCAGCCTCCCAAGTAGCTGGGATTACATGTGCCCGCCACCTCGCCTGGCTAATTTTTGTATTTTTAGTAGAGACAGGGTTTCACCACATTGACCAGGCTGGTCTCAAACTCCTGACCTCAAGTGATCCACCCACCTCGGCTTCCCAAAGTGCTGGGATTACAGGCACGAATCACCATACCCAGCTTACCATACAGTTTTAACCTTGCATCCTATTATTGAACCAGACTGCAGTTTGAATAAACTCGACTTTCTAAAAAATCATTTTTGTTTTTATTCTTTTCAGATTGAAATTTTCCACACAGGGACCGAGCACGGTGGCTCACACCTGTAATCCCAGCACTTTGGGAGGCCGAGGTCAGGAGTTCGAGACCAGCCTGGCCAACGTGGTGAAACCCTGTCTCTACTAAAAAATACAAAAATTAGCCAGGAGTGGTGGCAGGCACCTTAATCCCAGCTAC